CTTCCCAGGGTGGGGGTCCCCTTGGCTCTGCGTCACTCTCAGGTGGGCCATCACCTCACCCTGTTTTTTGTTGTTGTTGTTCTCCATGTGTCTGTTTCCCTAATTAATCCTACCTAGTATATAAAGAATCAAATTTTATTTTTTTCTAGACGACCACCTAGTAATCCGCAATACCATTTATTTTATTTGTCCTTGATAGGCCCATGTTTTATTAGATTTGTCTGGTTTCTCATTCTACCCTACCCTCAGCCAGCTCAAGGTGTTATATGACCTTCCTCTTACTACCATTAGAACTTGGAAACATGACTTTAATCTCCCCTCTACAAATGTGAAATAATAGTTACATGAAAATATTAGCAACTGTCCTCTAAACATTGCTTTAACTTGCTCACTGTTCCAATTTGTAGTGTATTTTATATTTTTAAATAGTCTACATATTGTCTTCTGTTTTCTTCCTTGGTCCAAAGATTGAAATTATTTTATGTTCGTTTTTACTTTTCTATATTTTAAATATTTTAAAAACTAAGTTATATTTATTCTACATAGAAATAACCATTGTTTTACATCTTCCTAGATGTATATGCCTATTTAAATTTCAGATATATAATATGCATAAGTACTCTGCCCTTTAAAAAGTAAAACATTACAGATAAAGTCACTACAACTACATTAGCCTCCCCCCAGATACAATCACTGTGTAAGTTTGGTGATTTTTTAATAGAACACTTTGAATATTTTTATATAAATATGTATCCATGAATATGTAGTTTTGAGTTTTAAACTTGACATAAGTGGCATCAAACTGTACTTACCTTCATGCAATTTGTTCTCATCTATGTTGCACTTTTTTTTTAATTGTTTCTAGAGGTTCTTCCTGGTTCTGATTCAACTATGCTAGCTTGTCTTGCACTTAAACATAGTAAGAAAACGTTTTCCAACAGTCCCCAAATCTGAAGGCTTTGGATATGTTACTGCTGAGGCTTCTATCACTTCTCATTCCTGCTTCCTTGTGTGTATGCTCATTTTTTTCCATGAGTTCATTTTTTAAAAATTATAGTTTTTTGAGGCCTGGGATGCAGGTGTGTGCTTCCATAAGGGGTTATTTTGCCTCTGCCAGGTGCCTGGAGGCAGTACCAGTTTGAGACCACTTTAAATGGCTTGGAGCCTATTGAACTACCCAGCTGGTGTGATTTCAGCTTCACGTCCTCAAGGACAATTTGTGGTGACAGATTTAGTTTCCCCCCTTGGTCTGCCCAGCACCAGAAGAATACTCCTTACAGTATCCTGGGGATAGATTATACTATGGATTTACTTCTAGAAGATTCTTAACCTGCGGTCTTATCTGTAGAGCCCAACTTGAATGGAGAGGAGTCAGGAAGAGAATTCTCTCTCATTAAACTTGGGCATTTGGTTTCTGCCCACATGTCTTGACCTCAGTTGGATTTCTGTATTTCTCTCTGTGAAAGAGTATCAAAACCAAAATTTAGGTTCCCCTAATTTGGGCGATGCCTCCAGCTTCGGTTACTACTCCCTCTCCAGGTTGCCGCTTTCACGTAGATTTTGGCCTGAAAACATTTACTGCCTTGTAGCTCTTGGTGGTTATGAGAAGGGTAAGGCACACCACCATAGCCTGCCACGTTACTGGAAATGGAAGACCCACCTCTCAACTGTGGCAAGTTCCGTAATACCTACATTATTAGGGTTTATAACATTCATATTCTGTTCTATAGCCATAATTCCCACAATAGTTTTTAGCTAGAGGTAGACCGAGTTTGTAAGTGAAACATGTTGCCACTGCCCCAGCCCTGCGTGAGCTCACCAGGGATCTCTGGCATTTTCCTGTGATGATTTCCAGTCTTCCTGTGGGGATTTTTCTGGATAAGCAGGGCATGTTTACCATGTGAAGTTGATAACAGCTGAGGCTTCTTCATGATGCCGGTCAAGGGAAAGTGGTTATATTTGGATTTAAAATTGTTTTGAAACCTCTAAAAAATTTGAACTATGTGGCTACTGCCAGAACATGAGCAGAAAACAGAAGAATGGAACAGCCCTATTTAATAGCATACCTGGATTTTTCTTTAATATCTGGAAGAAGTTAAGAGGGCAGAAGAATGGGGTTTGAATTCTTCATTTCCTTGTTTAAAATGAAAATAGATGAAAAGCAGTATTTATCGTGTATGAGCAACCTGCCTAGAGTCATTGCTCGGCTCCCTTCAGATGATGCTTGGTGATCAGACTGGACTTTTCTGGGAGAGGTTCAGGTTTAGGTTTTTGCAAAGGCAAAATTAAAAGCAACACCTAAAAGGGAGCATGGCAATTTCACCCGTTCCCTCAAGGTCAAAATGTGTAGCTGGTACTTCTTGCATCATAGGTTCCACAGCTCCATGCCTGATAGCTAAGAAGTGAGCTTACATCTTCTTGGACCAACCCCACTATTCCATGGCCGTTCTATCCCAGTGAAGCCCTGGCAGGAAGCCAGCATCTTACCTAGGCAACATCTTTGCATGAAACCTGTTTCATGCATCCGTCCAAACCATGTCCTGGGTATGGCTAGAGGGAGCAGATGGTACCTGTGCTGAGCCTCAGGTTGCAGATCAGACCCTTCAATCAGCTTCTCAGTCGTTTTGGTTTTCATCACTATGGTGACCACATAATTTATCCTCTTAAAGTAGGAGACATGCCTGAGAGAGTGTGATTAATAATTAAGATGGTCAACATAAATTGGGAATGCCCCAGGCAAACTAGAATGAACGGCCAACCTAATTATCTCCTGTTTCCATGATAAATCCAAATATACCATGATACATAGCTCCCTTTTTCTCCAGCATTTCAGCAAAAACCTGACGTTATCTTTATTGCCAAGACAGCTTAGTCATATTCAGCAGTAAAACTAGTATCGCTTAGTAATTAGTTCAATTTGGTAAGTGCATACATCCATTTTTACATGACACACTAATGTTTTGCTCATAGTTTTCTGTTAGCTTATAGAAAAGGGAGCTTGATTTGTTACCTTAATTATCCAAAGTTTGTTGGTAGGGTTATTATGCTTTTTGGTGATCAATTCACTCCATCGGTAATAGTTGTAATACAGCAGCAACTAACACTCATGGGTTACCGCATGCCAGGCCCTGTACCAGAAGCCTCAGTGTCTCATTTAACCCTGACATCCACGTGGGAGGAAGGGACTCTGATCATCTCCTCTCTACCAATGAGGATACTGTGTGTGTATGTAGAGCTGGTTGAATATATAAACGACCCATGCTCTTGGGCACATTATATGGTCTTTATTCCTAGCTAGGGAATTTTTACTATTTAATGTTTCCTTTAATGAAAGCTAATGTAGAAATGTCACTTCTAAGCCTGTCCCTTGTTCAAGGGCTCTTTCCTAGCCCAATGTGTCCATTCTTCTAACTCAGCTTATTTTCTACAGAGCTGTTATTTACAAACTTCTGTGGTAGCTTCCATTGCTTTACAAAGATATGTTAAATGGTGATTATATTGTCACATTCTTTCAGTTGAGCCCCAATTGCTAAACGTAATTTTCTCGTACTAGGCACTGAGAGAAATGCACCTCGTGTTTGAAATGATTGTCGAGTGCTGCTAGATGTATGGAGTACTGGGTCCTATGATGGTGAATCGGTGCATTTGATTAGGGGTGTTCTGTCTTCCTGGAGGTTCTAGCACCATTTCCGACAGATGTTCCCTGCATTTGTAAGTGTTTCCAGGCTTCAAGAACAAAGCACAGCACCACATTCACCTGAGGCCAAGAGCAGAGATGTGTCCATCACTTACTGACTTCTGGACACAGCTCCAATGAACCCCTCTCATGGGTATCCACAGGAGGGGCACAGTGTAAGAACACGAAAACAAGTGGCATGTGTTCTTACACTGTTTGTTTTTGAAACAGAGTCTTGTCCTGTCACCCAGGCTGGAATGCAATGGTGCAACCTCGGCTCACTGCAACTTTTGCTTCCCAGGTTCAAATGATTCTCCTGCCTCAGCCTCTTGAGTAACTGGGATTACAGGCGCCCACCACCACACCCGGCTACTTTTCGTATTTTTAGTAGAGATGGGATTTCACTATGCTGGCCAGGCTGGTCTCGAACTCCTGACCTTGTGATCCACCTGCCTCGGCCTCCCATAGTGCTGGGATTACAGGCGTGAGCCACCGCGCATGGACCTTTCCTCCTATTAAAGATTTTTAAAGTGTGGCATGAAGCAGTGCTGATATTAATAACTTATCTCTGTGCTGGGAACTTCCTATATGCATTATTTTCTTTAATCCTCATAACAATGCTGAGATAGGTCTTTTTCCCCACATTTTCCAGAGACAGAGGTTCAGAGAGGTCAGGTGACTTGCACAAGTCCCAAAGCATCATTTGGGTAAAACCCAGAGTGGAATAAGGCTTCTGGTCAACACAGCCCTGGCCCTTAGTGTGTTTACAAAGCTTTACTTGCCCCTCAGCCCACCGTGTAAATTCTTTGAACTTACTAGAATAAGTATTCAGTGGAAGAACTTCAGCGCATTTCACGGAGCGACATTTGGAACAGCGCCTGCACGTGGCTGACTGAGCGTGACTTGTCCTCGCTGTCTAATCCACACACAGGTGAACGAGTCCTGCTCCAAGATCCTGGCAAAACCCGAGGAAACGGATGCGATGTTTGAAAAGATTTCCACCAACTTCTCATTTTAGGGTGAACTGAGAAGCTGCTTAACTAAAGGCGCAGCAAAGTGTGTGTCCTCGGGGTAACACTGGCAGAGAAACCCCAACATCAACTATACCCCAGGGGCAGCCCAGAAGCCCTGCAGTCAAGTGTTTATAGCTCTGATCCATGGATAAGTCTCAGAGAAAATTTTAGCAAGAAGGTTCACAGAGGTCAGCCTCCAGCCACCTTGTATGGTGAGAAGGTGATATTCAGGGACCAGAGCCTGTGCCAAGTGCCAGGCCCTGCTTCTCCATGGCTTCTGGAAAGTGACCCTAACTCTATGTTTATTGCAGGGGACCCGTAAGCCAAACCCCCCTCAGAAGCCTCTGCCTGCAGATCCTCTGGGCAGGATGACTCGGCTCACCCATGCCTCGGCCAGGACCTCAGGACAGCGGGAGACCGGGCTCCACCTGGCACCTCTCAGGTTTGTGTAACACACCATGCCCATCTCTTTCTTTCTCAATCTCTTGTGGGACCAACCACAACAAACCCAGTCTCTTCCCGGTCCCTGGGATCCTGAGACATTAGTCGGGTTGGAGGCACACAGCTGGAACAAGGGACATATGGGGAGTAAGGCAAAGCAGCTGCCTGGCAAGAGGACACTGGGAAACAGGGACCACGGGCAAAAGGAATCACCTTTCACAACTTCTGCTGCTTGGTCTGCAGGAAGGCAGAGACTTCCATCCCAGCTAATGCAGGGAGGCTAATCCCATGGTATGCTGAAGCCAGCTCACCTTGGTTGGTAAGAGCTATCAAATTTCCAGGAATTTTGCAAGCTAGGTGTTAAACCTAGCCAATATTAAGGATTAAATTTTACGATATATTAGAAACAAAGGTAATAAGTGCACAAAACTCACCTCACATTTTTCTCTGTTTTGCTGTAATTATCTGTGCTCTTGAGATTGCGCTCATCCGTGATTTCTGTACGGCAGGGAACCTAGGTCATAGTAGCTGCTCACATCTCCTTCACGTTTAGTGACATCAGGTGGTAGCTTGAAACCAGCCACAGTGGGAGTATTGACACCATGGAAATTGGCAAACGCTGCAAATCAGGCTTTCGTTCCCCACCCCCCGCCCCCCGCCCCAGCCACCACCTTGGGCTGTTAAACCCACAGCCAAAGTACTTTTCTGACACACATGCCCTCTTGGCAGGAAGCCTGCTTTTTGAGTTCAAAAGTACCAAAGGTACTGTGTTGGCCAGGCCCTGGGTTCAGTAATCCTGTATCTCTGTAGGAGAAGACACATTGGAGTGATTTCATTACAGCTCTTGGGAAGAATGTTTGGCCCGTGAAAGAGCTGCCTAATAAATCTCAGAGATAAAGGCGGTCAAGGGGTCAGGAAATTGTTTAATTCCCAACTGCATAAATAGAGAAAAACTGCATAGCATCCTAATTATTTCATTGTGGTTTGCATGTTGATCTTGAAGTTATTTTTCCTGTTCTATTTGAGGAAAAAACACTACTTTACATGAACACAAGGAGGGGAAGTCCTTTATGTTAAATGCCCGCAAGCCGTGGCCTATGCTACCTCTGCCAGTTGCTGATTTCAGTCCTGCACATTTCATTTTTGAGGGATCCTGGGTGCCCACCTTTGCTCCTTGTTCTCTGGAGCTGTGCTGTGGGACACAGGGGCTGTGAGGCAGGCTGTGCCTAGCACAACTATCTATTTTTTTCTATTGATAATCCGTTCAAATAATCCTCTAGATATATACTGAGTTAAATGTATTACTAAAATTAATTTCACCTATTTCTCTTTTTCCATGTGGCTACTAGAAAATTTAAAATTCCTTGTGTAGCTCACATTTTTTCTGTTGGACAGTGCTGTTTTAGACTTGGCTTGTGGTTGGGAGGTGTGGCTTTGGAGAGAGGTCTCCCGCCCCCGTTATGAGGGGCAGCGGTATCTGACACAGAATACATCTCCAACCCCACGCTTCTCTATCCTCAGATTCACTTCTCAAGGCCTCTGATTATTTTCTCTTTTCTCCTCTCTTGATTCAGACCTGCTCCGCAATACCCACCCCAAGTGCCCAGATCCACCCACACCGCCTATATTAAGTGAGACGCCGACACCTTTTTTCAACAGTGAAGACAGAAGTTTGCACTATCTTTCAGCTCCAATTGGAGTTCCTTTTTTGTACCAACTTTTAGGATTTTTTAAATGTTTAAAACACCATTATTTTAAGAACTTTTGAGCTGCTGCCATTGGTGCTGTGCTGTGCTATGGTGCTCTGTCTACTTGCTCAGGTACTTGTAAATTATTAATTTATGCCGAATGTTTATTACAGTGCAGTGCGCTGTAGTAGGCATTTTTACCATCACTGAGTTTTCCATGGCAGGAAGGCTTGTTGTGCTTTTAGTATTTTAGTGAACTTGAAATATCCTGCTTGATGGGATTCTGGACAGGATGTGTTTACTTTCTGATCAAGGCCTTATTGGAAAGCAGTTCCCCAACTCCCCCCAGCTCTGGTTATATGCCAGATGCAGCTCAAGAGACCCCAAGAAGAACCTCGTTTGATTTTCTGGATTCCCCATCTATCTCAGGCCAAAGCCACGGGGCTTCAGGTCCAGGCTGTGCTTGGCTTTCAGGAAGGCCCTGTGCCCCTTGACAACTGGCAGGCAGGCTCCCAGGGGCTGCCTCATGAAGTGTTGGGACAGCAGGGAGAAATCTGGCTTCTGGCCAGGAAGCTTTGGAGAGAATGTGGGTTGCAGACAGGAATGTTAACGTGTGGCCCCACCAGGATAGAGACTGGAACACTGGACAAGCCGGACCTTGACCCTGAGCTGACCAGCCATGAGCATGTTTAGAAGGGAGCTATAGGGTCACTCCAGGCTGTGCTTCATAGAAGTACAAGTAGAAGTACCAAGCACTTGTTTTACTGGCTGCCCTTTCCAGAGCACAGCCATACGCAGGTTATCTAGATTGAGAAAGGTGGTGTTTCTGCAAGAAAGGTAGTGCCCAGTCGCTGCAAACCTCCACCTCCCTGTGCTGCTTGGAGCGGAGCAAATCGCTACAAACTGTAACACGAAGACCCTGTATTCAGACAGTTGAGGCTTTCTTCAGATGTGAACCACTAATTAGGTCTAGTCAATCAAGTCTGTCAGTGAAAAATCTCTTTACTACAAGGTTCAACTTATTAAAAATTAGGCAGAATCTTTATGCTTGCAAAAACTATAACCCAATGGAACATGTTGCTCATAGGTATAGCCTATGTCTGCTATCATAATTAGTAGATATTTGACAAAGAACCTTCTCTATGGGGGCATCCTCTTTTTCCAGCTTGGCTGCAGGAATCTTTAAAAGATGTTTTTAACGGAGTCTGAACCTGTTTCTTCATTGCTTGCAACCTACCTGTTGAAGCATCACAGAATGTGATAAGGAAATCAGTTTCCTAGCCGTAAATATGTACGAAATGCTGGCTTGGGCAGCAGTCCCTTGAACTTTTTACTCTTCACATGTCTGACTAGGAAGCCATTTTTCACAAGGTCTTTAAGATGACTATATCTAATGGCATGAGAAATACAAAAATACTCAGATAAGGTGGTAAAATGCCATGATGCCTGTCACTGTTTCCTGGAGGGGTCATATCTGACTGGTTTTCACATTAGAAGACAATTGACAACAGTGACGTAATTCGCTCTGAGTGTTTTATGAAAAAGGCTTCTTTTGGGGGTCAACAGTTTTCCTATGCCTTGAAACAGAAAGAAAAATACATGTCAAGAATCTTGGTTTGCCTTCCAGAAAACAAAATTGCATTTCACTTTCCTGGTGTTTCCCACCATGTCTAGGCAACACAGTCTTCATGACTATGGATAAACCAAGTAAACACATGTCACAAACACAAAAGGGAAACCAGCTCTAATACATTCCAACTCTTATCGCATGCATCTGTTTATCCTACAGTTATTAAGTTCTTAAAAATGTAAAGCCATGCTAGAAAATAATACTGCTGAGATACATACAGAATTACTGTAACTGGTATTACATTTGGTAATTGTACTAAAGCCTAACATATATATACTATTAAAAAGGTTTACAGAATTTTATGGTGCATTATGTGGGCATTGTCTTTTTAGATGCCCAAATCCTTAGATCTGGCCTTTTAGCCCTTCCTCCTGTCATAAGAGGATATGAACTGAGTTTTGTTGTTGTTTGTTCTTAGCTGTAATTCCTATGCTTCTATTTCAGAGAGCCAGGAAGAGTCTGATATTAAAGGAGGTTAAAACTGTGATCTTACGCCATGTCATCAGTGGCCACTTAGGGGCCATGGCTGATGACACATTTTTATCTCTACCGTACTAATTTGTTTCTACAGAGCCATGCAATTTATTTCTGAATAAGAACTTATTTAAACTAATATTCCCTTATGATGCAGATAGTATTATTAAAGGAATAATCCTTCCAAGATGCAATATTTATCTAGTGAAGCATATTTAGCAGAAAATTCCATTTTAATATAACTTAGGAAAGGAAGCAATAACCAGGGGGCTTTGTGGTTGGGGAGGCAAGGGGTAGAGGGTATTCCTCTCCTTTTCTGTATTCTCAGAACCACCACCAAAAAAAAATCAGTACTTGTATTTCAATGGCAATGTCTTTAGTATTTTTTTTTAAAGTTTTTATAGGCATGAAGAAAGAGGTGGTTTGAGTTTTGCAAGGCCATCACCTGGAAAGTCAGCGTGACTAGACACAAAGTAGCCCAGCGGTTACTTTTCTTCCCATATCTTATTACCGTTGTAGGTTCTATGACCTCACTTTATGGGTTCCAGGCAATTCCACTGAAAGGTCTGTCTCCTGAAATTTTTTAAGTTTGTTTTCCTGACACATGTAATCAGATGTGTAGCAACCGAGGGAAACGAAGCCTAACGTTCTCCATTGTGGAAACACACACAGGAGGTTACACTTCTCAGTGTGGATTTTTCCAGCTTACACATGTGGGATGACATCACAGAAACCACAAAAGCAGCAAATTAAACTGTAGGAGCGTAAATACTCCTGATGAGTCTCAGGGGGGACATTTTTATGCCTTCTTAACTTTATGAAGAATTCTCAGGCTGAACTATAAGCCATTGTTCCCTGGCAAACCAATACATCAATGCATTCTCAAAAAAAACCAAAACTGCTAAAATTCTGTCAAAATGTTCTCAGGAGCCTATGCTCTCCGCGGTGCTAAAAAAAAAAAAAAAAAGCCTGGTGCTAGGCCGACTGGCAGGGCCGAGAGTCCTCCTGCCCCCTCTCCACTGATGTTTACTATGCACTCTGAGCCAGTGAGACCCCCAGTGGCTGAAAGGGCACAAGGCAGTGCCAGGGCAGCAGGGCCAGATCTTTCTCATGCACTCTGAACTCCTGAAGACTTTCCTCGTGAGGTTTACTCAATTTACAACTGCTATGCAGGGCTCCCCTACATATTCTGGGGGCCCACGGCACACTCAGGCTGGAGATCCTTCCTCACTGCTCTCAAGATGGCCCCAGCCAGACACCAGTGACCCAAGTGAAAGTCACACAACCCTCCCAGAAGTCTCCCAAAACTAGTGCTGACCAGAGGTGGGGCCCTCAGGCTGCGAGTTTCACACGCTATGACAGGCTGCTGGGGGACATTACAGGACCCCCCTTTCTCCTCCTCTCCCATGCTAGAAGCCAGTCCTAGGCTGCTGCAGTTACTCGCTGTGACTCAGCAGGAGACTCATTCAACACAGCTGCCCACAGGAAGCCAGTGGCTAATATATCTGTTTGCCTTTCCCTACGACCCAGACACAAGTCGCTTTCCCAGATCAAACCCCAGGCCGATGCATCTCCAATTTCTGACAGTCATATCACTACTTCCATTTCCGCTTTAGACCAGCCAAAGTGGTGACTGCTGCAGTGGGTGGCTGTCCCTACAAGGCCCACCCAAGGGATGCCCAAAGCCCAAGCCTCCTAGGACTGCAGCCCAGAGCAACCCCACCAGCCTTTAGTCCAGCAGAGGACCTCCCACCCAATACATTGTTCTAATTAGAAGGGGAAGTTAGCCATAGGAAGTCAACTTATCTATAATTACAAAATTCTCTTAACTCACTCTAAAATTTCTATTGCTATCTATTGCTTTTTAACCCTATTTGAAAACTCTGATAGTAAAACAAATGACATATGACAAGAAAGTTTGGGAGCCCCATGCTGAGAACCATTTCTGTGCAGTGAGGATGTTTCCAGAAGCTACTTACCTACATGTGAATGTGCCATTTTCTTTCTTTCGTAAAGAAAATCCCCTCTTTACTTTTCGGAAGTGTGATGGCAGCTTCTAGTGCGGCCATTAGTTTCATGTGAGAAAAACTAAGAATAACTATAAAATTATTAAAATATCCAGTAATAGATCATGATAGCCAGAAGATTTAATACAAAAAGTCATTCTCCATTTAAAGCTATTTGGCTTTTCTAGGTTGAATGCCCTGTAACCCACCCTGACCTTCCACATCATCTTCAAAAAGGTTCTCTGTTCCCCATGATTCTCCTATACACTCATTAGTCCTCCATTTAATGCAATTTAAATGCTCCAAAGAATAAGTATCATGTGATTATTTTAGTTTTGCAAAAATGTCGAATGGCGTTTTACTTTCATGGCCTATAAGCAGGCAGCTTAGTTGGGCAGTGATAGGAAAAACAAATTAGACCAAAAAAGTCCTCTACAAATCCAAGGCAGGAAAAATGGTGGCAGAGTGAATCACTCTCCTGTCCCTCCCATCAGGTCACATCGGGAGGCTACAGTGAATGCCCGATTCTTTTAATGTGTGGCTACTGTTCCTGTAACTCTTCAAAACTTGGCTACAGGCTATTTAGCACAGTGCAGATTAAAGATACAGCTGCGTAAGCCAGCACAGGAATTCTATAGTGCTTCGTCCATGTATCATGCTTTGGTTTGCTCGTTTTTCCACATACCTTTTTATGTTACAGTCTGTTGCTTTTGTACACATTTCTCATATTGGGGTTTGACAGGTCAACACAACCTGCTATTTCAGTAGAAAAAAGTTATTGTTATGAATATTAAACCCAATAAATAGTATACAGGTAAATGTCAATGTGTGTCTCATTTGTTACTGAGAATGTTACAAAAATTTGGGGACGATCTTTCATGCAGAAAATGTATTCTCATTCATGTATGGATGCTTGAGAACATTTTGGAATAGTACATAAGAAACTAAGAATGGTTGGCAGGGTCTGGGGGTAGGGGGTGTGTGCTACGAATCTCATGAACGCGTCAGACAGGAGGGAAGATGCTCACACGTAGCGCTGGGGGGTGGAAGTTGATACAGTTTTTGAACAATGTGAATGTATAACCTATCAAATAATTTATTAACTTATTTACATAAGAAATCCAAAAAGTAAGCAGGAGAGATACTAACATCGGAGTTATTTGGTATGAAAATCTAAGTGTAAACAGATACCTATTTACAAATTTAAGAAAGACAGCATCCAACTTAATAAAGAAAACTAAAGAAAAAGAAAAATAGCTGGTCTGAAGGTAGTGAGTTATCTCAACTGATTGTTCAGTCAGTTACAGATCGAGCTCCTTGTTCTACTCTTTGCCCCCTTCTCACTACTGCACTTGACTAGTCTTAAAAAAAAAAGAAAGGAGGAAAGAAAAAGAAAAATACATATACAAAATGCTAACAAGAATAAAGGGGTCTTTTTTTTTTTGGATGGAGTCTCACTCTGTCACCCAGGTTGGAGTGCAATGGTGTGATCTCAGCTCACTGCAACCTCTGCCTCCTGGGTTCAAGTGATTCTCCTGCCTCAGCCTCTTGAGTAGCTGAGATTACAGGCATATGCCACCGTGCCTGGCCAATTTTTGTATTTATAGTAGAGACGGGGTTTCACCATGTTGGCCAGCTGGTCTCAAACTCCTGACCTCATGATTCGACCACCTCAGCCTCCCAAAGTTCTGGGATTACAGGCATGAGCCACCGCACCTGGCCAAAGGAATCTTTATTCTTACTACTCTTCACCCATGATCAAGCAAGCCAGCAAACATTAGTACATACAAAACTTCAAACATAATTGATATATATATCTAACAGGATACTCCAAACATACAAAATGTATCTTATTTCTAAGGGCCTTTGAGGGAAAAAAAAAATCTCAAAAAATAATTCCATACCCTAGAAATGTAATGATTGATTAGTTTTCAAAGATGAATTGCAGGTTAGAACATGGCAAGTGAAAATATTTGTAATAGCACACGTGATGGCAGAGATTCTCAAACCCTTTGAATTAGAAGAACTCACCTGTGATGCATGTTCAAACCCATTAAAATCCACTGTTCATGCCCTTTCCCTGGAGACTCCAATTCAGAGAGCTGACATGGGGCCACAAAATGTGTATTTAGCAAGTTCTCCCAATTGAATTTTTCATCAGAAAAGTTGAGAAAACTTCTATAATAAAATAACTAAAACAGTACTGGGAGAAAATTCATAGCCTTAAATCTACATATTAATTTGTAAAAGATGAAAAAGGGAATCTAATATCTACTATAAGTTAAAAAAGGAATAAAATAAACCCTCAGGGAAAAAATAGAAGAAATGAATTTGTAGAAATAAGGATACGTTCATTAGTAAAAAATAGAGCTAATAAAACCATGAGTTGCTCTTTGGGAAAAGTCAAACAGTGTATAGATCACTTTCTCTTCTCATTAAGCAAAAAGAAGAAAAAGAGTAAACGTACATAGCACACGAGCATGAAGAATCCTGCAGTCCACCGTAACCCAGGGAGATGATCTCAAGAATATAAGGATGGTTCGATATTTATCAGGAGGGTAGACAGTTTTGCCAAGCTTGACGTCAACCAGAAGGGATGCGCATGCCTTCCACAGAACAGGCTAGTGAATACAATCTACAACAGACCAAAAAAATGCAACTAAAGTGAACGTCGACATTGACCACCAACAAAACGAGGGAGCTTTGGAGAGTTGTAAATGTGCTCCAATTTTTGGAGAGGTTTTAACAATCTAATCTGGGAAATCTAAAGGAATATGCATTTGTACACAAGATAAAACACTCATGAAATATCTAAGGACGGAACTATGGCCCACAAATCCCATTCCTAAAGTGAATGTTCTGTGAGCTCTCTGGAATAAAGCCGATTGCTAATGTCAATAGAATTGTGTGCTTTTTCACTATGCCCCTCAGAAAAGCTTTGGAGTTTTAATTACCTTTTATTAGTCTTTCCCTACAGAAAAAAAAAAAAAAAAAAAATCCACTCCTATACAGACCTTTGTAGCTGGTTTGCTCATGGGGCCAAGTTAACCAGTGTGCCTCTGGAGACACAAAATTCATGTGGTCTGTACACTCATTTTTGTGCTGATTTTTAAGTGTGTTTGCTGAGTTGAAGCTCTACCACGTTTGTGTCTTTAAGCTTCCAACCAGCAGACATGGCTGTGGTTAATTCCTGCTTGACTAGGAACTGCATGATCAGCATCAGAAAACCTTCTGCTCTGAAGACAAAATTTAATATAGTACTCTTTGGCTACATCGTCAACCCACCAGCAGGCTGAGTCTTTCATTGTCAGGGCGTGAGATATGCAAACACATTCACAGGTCTGGTCTAAGAAGGCTGACCCTCAACCAGACACCTCTAATAGAACAGAATCAGAGTCTTGAAATATGTATTTTGAGCTTTGATGTGAAGCCAACGGCTGAAAACTCCTGGGCTTTTCGGAGGAGCGCCACTCCAGGAGGGAGCAGCAGCCTGACAACCAGCCTGGAAGCCCCAAGTTGGGAGGGGAGGATTTAATTGAAAACACATGAGGGAAAGAATTCCAGCAAGGCCTAGCGTGGTCGAAGGACAGCTTGCAGGGCAGGAGCCGGGAGTGGCAGACCCATGTGTGTTTGTGTAGCTTCAGTGCATAAATATTTTGTTTCATGTCTAACTCTAAAAGGCACAAGTGTAAGAAAACATCCCCATTCTAAAGACGCCCAACGATGGCACCACATAACGCGCATGCTTAGGTAAAAAGATGTATTTCAAAGTCGGAACACTGAATCTTCAACTAAATAAATAAATGTACAGCGCTCCAAGATGCAGAATTTCCCATCCCTAGATTAACAGTCACGTTTCACTTTGTTTTATGTGGATTTCGCAGATGAGTCGTGCTCTGATCAGCAGACAGAAGACTTCTCCGGCCTCTGCTTTTTTTTCCTTTCTTCCAATAAGGAGACTACACTCTAGATAAACAAAAACAGACAGGTGAATGTAATCCAGGATTTTGGTGGTTTTTCTGAGTCTTAAAGGGCTATGAAATTAGCCTTGATAGGCAGAAAGAGCATCCCAACCTGTCTGTCAAAAACTCTGGCCATTTCTAGGACACCTTTGCCGAACTGAAACAGGAAACAACAAAAATTTTACACGCTTATAAACGTTCTTTCTCCCCCTCCGAGGAAAACCTTTAGATAAAGATGGACTCATTTACCTCATTTGTTATACTTGCATCTGCCCCTTTGTCAAGAAGTAACTGAACTAACTCTTCATGATTATTTAACACAGCCACCTAGAAAACAAAACCCAGGGTGGTGTGCATGAGCTCCTCCCTCCAGGGCACACACAGCAGCAGGAAGCATGAGCCTGGCACGTGCGGAGTCCCAGCAGCCCCCTTGCAACCCACAAAGGGCCACCGTGGCTTCGCGTGGGCTGCAGGCACAGCGCTTCCTCTGCAGCTGCAACAGTAGCAACTCCAGGGAAATGGACTCTCCCTCTCTCCACGCTAAAACCAGGACAGAAAGCAGCTTGTTCTTTGTTTCACCAGATCTGTTTTGACCCCACAGTGGTCCTGGGGACAGGGGTTCTTTACTCCTTAAAGAAATGGTTGTAAAAAGACAAGAAACGTATTCTAGTAACGGCCTCATGCCCTTCTGAACAAGCCGACAGGGAACACACACACACAGTCAAAGCCAAGGGCTGGTGGAGGCGCAGAAAAAGCTCTGACCTTAATTCCATGCAGAAAACTGCCTATTTTGGGGAGGACGACCTACCATAAGAGGCGTCTTTCCATTTCTGTCCTTCACATTCACATTGGCCCCAGCCTCAATTAGAAGAGAGGCCACCCTCTGATTTCCCGACACTGCAGAGACTCTCATGAGTGGGGTCCATCCAGAACCAGTGTCCACTACGTCTACCTGTTGGGCCAGAGAAACAGCTGTGTTGAGCCCAATTTCTTTTCCTTAAAATGATTCGAACTTATAAAAGGAGTATTTCCTTGCCCCAGCGCCCAGACTTAGATAGCCGTCTTTCCACATTTGGTAGGAGTTCATTGCACTGTGCTAATTTAATTCACATTTCTATGCTGTGAGGACACATGTTAGAATTGCATTAGAGGGTGCTGAGAGGCCTCAGGGTCTCCCCACTGGCTTCTTCATCTACATCCTTTAAAGTAGAAAAAAGATGGGCTAGAAAAATTAACTGACTGACTTTCCACTTGGCCCCTGGAGCATTCTTATTCTCTCTTGACTAATTTTCCTCACCTAGCATTGATTTTTCTTACTTTTATGTATCGTTGTAAGCAGCTTTACATCCTTTCTGGAACAAGACAGTCATAATAACAACTTTAGGCAGAAGACCTACAGGTAAATACAGAACAACCAGATTCATTACACGAACTCTGTCTGAAAAGTCTGACTGATGCCTTCTCCAAAACAGCATGCACGTAATCAGATGGCTGTCTCCCGACTGTCTTCTCTACGCTGAAATCTCTCGGTTTAGTGTTCTAAAATAAAGATGTTAGATTAGGAAAATGTAAATGTTGTCTCTTCCAATTCCAATGAAGACCTCGCCAATCCATGAAGAGTGGTGCTGAAGATAGATACGTGTGTGTGCTCAGACACAGGTACACACATGCACGTGTGCATCTACACACTCATGCATACCATGTGCACACAAGCACACATGCACACGCGCGTGTGCACACACACACACACACAATCTGTTACAGAAGAATTACTCAAGGATGATCCATAGCTTTAGTAAAACATCAGAATGGAAGAACAAAGAATTTCCAGGAGATCTTGGGGGCACCTCAGGGTACTTCTATGTATAAGATTATCCACTGCAACATGGTTTGGATTTGCAGCTCTCCCTCATGCAAAGAACTAACCTGTGGGCAACACACTTCATTATATTTGAAGAATAATAAAATAAGCCTCATATTACATGATGCTTTATACAGTTTTCAACCCTCTTTACACATATTTTCTCTTTTGGTCCTAAAGGTTAATCAGAGGTAGGTATTTTTATTCTTGGTTTACAAATGATCAAACTGAATCTCAGAGAAGTGCCTTTTCTGAGGTCACATGGCTCATTAAATGCAGAAATGTATAAATAAGTCACCAAGTGAATAAGTCACTCTTAGTATATAATCATTACATTTCGGAAGAAGGTGGCAATGCCCTGATTGGCCCCCAAGTCCTTCCCATGGGCTTCAGAAGCATCAGGTGAGCCATCTGCCGAACATGGAGAGACTCATGTTGACATCATCCATCTGCCCCCAGGCCAGTCATGTGGAAATCTATAGTAAACACATCCATGCTTATTGTTCTGTCCTCTGCAAAGTAGTTCCAGTGCTTCAAAGAAGGATGGAATTTACCCCAAATTAGTGTGTTCATATCTGAAGCCCAGAGAGCCTACATTTCCAAAACTCCTGTATTTAAATGTTGATACCTGAGATTTGCCCTATTGTGCATGCTTTACTTTTCCTTTTCTTTGTTGTTTTTTGAGATGGAGTCTTGCTCTATTGCCCAGGCTGGAGTGCAGTGGCATGATCTCAGCTCACTACAACCTCCACCTCCCAGGTTCAAGCAATTCTCCTGCCTCAGCCTCCCTAATAGCTGGGGTTACAGGCACCCACCACCACACCCGGCTAATTTTTGTATTTGCAATAGAGACAGGGTTTCACCATGTTAGCCAGGCCGGTCTCGAACTCCTGACCTCAAGTGATCCACCTGCCTCAGCCTCCCAAAGTGCTGGGATTACAGGCATGAGCCACCACGCCCAGCCTGGATGCTTGACTTCAGCAAAGTACAACCTTCTTTTTCAATCACAGACTTTTACTAGGTGCAAAACCTGCCCAGAGTTGATCACAAACCAAACAAGCAGCATGTGGCTATCACTACCATACGTGGCACGTGGGCCCGGCTCTACCATGGAAGCCTACAGGCTCAGCCTTCTACCTCTCTCTGCCTCTCACAGGCTCTCTCTTCTGCCTCCCTGTCTCTAAAACAAGAGGAAAGTAATTCTCCAAAAGCAGCAGCAGGAACCAGGTAGATCCCATAACTGCAGCCTCACTTTCCCGCAATTACCCTTCAGAAACAATCTAGAACAAATCTACTGACATCTTCCAGGAGACATGGCTTTTCTCAATTTGAGTTGATTTTCCAGGTCATCGGCTTCATTTCTCAGCACCCTACACACCATCTGGCAGTCACGGATAGCACCGCACTTTGTCCATCGTTCTTTAGTTCCGTGCCTTGAAATTTGTAGCTAATTTCTCAACGTCTTGAACTAAAGCTTTCAAAATTATCAGCAGTTTCCATAATTGATCTAATTCTAATTACCCATCTTCAAATATCTGTAGAAGTCCAATCAACACTGCTTCTATTTGCTAAATCAAATTTGCACTTTCTGGTAACGTGAAATCAAAGGTAGACCAACTTGCCTGTTTCCAGGTAAAGACACAAAGAACTGAAATGATCTATTCTTGATATGGTCAGCCTGCTCTTTGGAAATTTTTTTTAATGACTAATCTTTAAAACAAACCAAGAATAAAAATTGTCTAATTTTAGAAGCAACAAGAAGCACAATAGCTGTAAGAGCTCTTAGTATCTTTCTATCTCCAGCACTTGAAATAATATCTGGTACATGCTCAGTAAAGCTTTGGTGAAAGACTAAATGAAGAGAGAAATAAGCCAATGAACAAAAGAACAAGCAGAATCATCAGGCCGGGTGCAGAGGCTCACACCTGTAATCCCAACACTCTGGGAGGCCAAGGCGGGTGGATCACTTGAGGTCAGGAGTTTGAGATCAGCCTGGCCAAAACGGTGAAACCCCATCTCTACTAAAAATACAAAAATTAGCCGGGCTTGGTGGCACATGCCTGTAATCCCAGCTACTAGGGAGGCTGAGGCAGAAGAATCACTTGAACCTGGGAGGCAAAGGTTGCAGTGAGCCAAGATTGCACCACTGCACTCCAGCCTGGGCAACAGAGTGAGACTCCATCTCAAAAAAAAAAAAAAAAAAAAAAAAAAAAAGGTAGAAGCATCAGGTCCAGCTCTGGATTCAGACCTGTTTCTCTTCCCTACACAAGATAAACCCCCACAACAATCTGAAAGCTCACTATCATGTCAATTCTACAATGATCTCTTTTCCCAAAGTTTCGGGGCTTTCTTGCTAAGTCAGAAAAATTTCTCCAGTATTTTTAAGGTTGACTAATCAAAGGCGCTGCCTCTGCTAGACCCCATGGAGCAGCATTTCAGATTCTTAACAGCGTGTGCGTGGTTAACAGGGCAGGACCCATACCTCACAGCCATCCTCGATCATCCACTCAATCACACTGCAGTGGCCTCCGTCTGCAGCCCAGTGCAGAGCTGTACAGCCTCCCAGGTCTCTCGCCTGCCAAGAAGCACCGTGTCTCCGGAGATATTTCACAACATCTAGGTGTCCCGCGTAGCACGCCAGCATTAGACTGCAGCATGTGGAAGAAGCAGCATTTGATGATAAGCACAGTCACCAAACAGCTCCACATTCTACCCTACCTGTCTCAAACCAAGAAATCCTAATTTGAGTGGAAAAGCCATGGATTTGCTCATATAAAACGTACACGTATCCATCAAGTGATGTACAAAATGTGGTATATCCATACAATGGAATCTTAGAAAGGGAGAGCTTCAAATATGAATGAACCTTAACACTGGGCTAAAAGATGCCAGACGTTAAAGGCCACATATTGTCTGACTGCATTTATATGAAATGCCCAGAATAGGCACATCAGTAAGACAGAACTAGCAGGTGAGTGGTTGCCTGAGGCTGAAGGGAAGGAGTAATGGGGAGTGACTGCTCAAGAGTACAGGGTTTCTTTGTGGGGGGAGGGGATGAATGTTCTGGAATTAGATAGTAGTAGTGGTTGCACAACTTTGTGAATACATTTTTAAATGCTGAATTGTATGTTTTAAAAGGTGAATTTTACGGTATGTAAATTATATCTCATAGTGACCATAACAGGGTAAACGATTGGATTTTAAAATATCCAAAGTCCATGATATTCAAAAAAGAAAAAAATATTCTTTTGACACTATTAAAGATAACTATCAAACCAATTCCTTATTCTAAAAATTGGTATTTAAGAAAAAAACTAAATATTTTGTTTTTTAAGGATAAAATGTAGTCCATCCCCAGTTGGTGAGCTGTTTTTCACAGAAGACTGCCAGCCAACAAATTTAAAAGTAACTCTGGAGTTAGAAAACCCCTTATTTGCAATTCCCAATTAAATAATTGATTCAGGCAAGGATCATCAGTGGATACTGAAATTACTGGATAAATGTTCATGGGCAGGCCAGGTGCAGTGGTTCATGCCTGTAATCCTAGCAATTTTGGAGGCTGAGGCAGGCGGATTGCCTGAGCTCAGGAGTTCAAGACCAGCCTGGGCAACATGGTGAAACCCCATCTCTACTAAAAATATAAAAATTAGCTAGGCATGGTGGTGTGAGCCTGTAATCCCAGCTACTCAGGAGGCTGAGGCAGGAGATTCGCTTGAACCTGGGAGGCAGAGGTTGCAGTGAGCCGAGATTGTGCCACTGTACTCCAGCCTGGATGACAGAGCAAGACTGTCTCCAAAAATAAAAAAAAGAAGTTAATGGGGAAGGGAATATTCACACAGCAATGAATTATTACCCCAAAGATTATTTTCTAAGTGTAATGGGAAAACTGTATCTTTACAAAAAAGAAAATTTGCTATCATCACTCTAAAAAAGTAATGAAACCTAGAGTCACTACCGGAGATCACTACCGGAGATCGCTACCCGAGATCGCTACCCGAGATCGCTACCCGAGATCGCTACCGGAGATCGCTATGGGAGACAACCTGCATCACAGGCTTCCCGATGGATGTAACCTGCAGTCACAACACTAGCTCTGAAGTATTCTTGCAAAAAGTATTAATCTGAGTCTAATTAAGCCTTTAATTTTTTTTTGTTTAATTCTTTAAAAAATTTACTTTGTTGCCCAGGCTGGTTTCAAACTCATGGCCTTAAGTGATCTTCCTGCCTGAGACTCCCAAAATGCTGGGGTTACAAGCATGAACAATGGCACCTGACGCAATCAAGTCCTTAAACCTGTCTTAACTTTATTGTTAATAAAGGGATAGAGGAACAAGTGAAATGCCTGTCCCACAGGCGGGAGACAGGCAAATCCAGAACATAGGACATTCTATAAGATAACTGGTCTGGTCTCCTCAAAGAGTCACTGCTATGAGAAAAAAAAAATTTGAGAAAGAGGACTGGTCTAGAATAAGAGAAACTAAAATGAGGGAATGGCCAGATGAAGTGTGGGAACCTCGAGTGGATCAGGGTCTCGCCCCACACCACCCCTCAAGTAAAGCAGTGGAAGAGCTTTGGGGAACAGGTAGGGAGAGCTGCATGGGTCCTTGTGTATCAGTGATATTAAGGAATTAGTTGAAGTGTCTCAGGTGCGATATGATAGGACTATTATGCAGGTTAATGACTGTGATTTTAGGAAACATTTTCTGATGTATTGAGGGGTGAAGGGTTATGCTATACTAATTTCAAAATAGTTCAGCAAGAATGAAAAAAAAGAAAAAAAAAAAAAGAAGAGGCAAATATGGCCAAATGTCAACTGCCAAGTCTAGGTGGTAGGTATACAGGCGTTTGCTGTACTGTTCTTTCACTTTCTCTAAATGTGTAAATGTTTCAAAATAAAGAGTTGGAAAATAAAACAGAAGATCTTCCCAGTAGGGAAATGTGTAAAGCCTCTGAGTGATAACTGGAAGCCCCGAAGGCAAGGCCCAGCTGAGCCAAGATGGGGCCAAACCCCTGCAGCCCCACATCCTCACACAGGCCTTCATTTCCTGGGGACCCCTAGAAGACAGTGAGCATGGTGCACCACCTGCCTGCCGAGTTTAGGGTGCTCATACTCCTTCCCAAACACTTGAAGGTTTTTAGAATGACCTTTGCTAAAGAAAGAAAACTTCATTTTTAAAATTACATTCAAATAGAACTCTAGCTATCTACATGATTTTTAAATAATGCTTTTCTGATTATAAAGTAAGGCATGGTACCTAGAAAAAAATATCTCATATCAGAGTCACACATAACCTGATCTCACTCACAGAGAACAAACTCTTAAGATTCTGCTGAATTTGCTCTAGGAGGGAAGGAGGATTGTCTAATAACCAGCCCCAGAGGCTCCAGATTGCCCAGCAATGAGCTCATTGAGACCAGGGGCTCTTCCTTCCCAGGGACAGGGACGGCCCTGAACCTGCTTCCCACCAGCAGAAAGCCACTAAGGTCCTCCAAGTGCCAAGCAGCTGGAGTCAGCCACCACCCCAATGGCCATCTGAACTCAAACTGCCTGGCACCTGCGGGGTCTGTTATCTGCTGCTTTACAAAAATGCCCTTCTCTGGTTCACACAACGCAATCCTGAGCACAGCACTGCAGGGCATCCCCCTGTGCCCAGGGCAAGCCCACCAGGAATGGAGGACCCGCCCCACTGGCTGGCTGCTCAGTCCCCTGCTATACTCCCAGCTCTACACAAAATCCCGTGCTTTCTCTCTTGTTCTATCTGTATGCTGTTCTTTTCTCCCTGCCTTTTAAAAAGTATTATATCAGTTTATTATTTCATATAGTTTCCTGTTTTCTTATGCACTGAAAACAGTATTTACATACTAAATATTCTGGCATATGAATATATCATAACTTCAATCGGTCCACTATTGTCAGACATTTAAGTTGTTTCAAATTTCTCACAATTTTAAATATATAACCTGCAGTTATATATTTATATATATGGATATAACCTGCAGTTATATATTTATATATATGGATATAACCTGCAGTCAAAACACTAGCTCCAAAGTATTCTTGCGAAAACTGTTAATCTGAGTCTAATTAAGCCTTTAATTTTTTTTTGTTTAATTCTTTAAAAAATTCACTTTGTTACCCAGGCTGGTTTCAAATTCATGGCCTTAAGTGTTCTTCCTGCCTGAGACTCATGAACGATGGCACCTGACGCAATCAAGTCCTTAAATCTGTCTTAACTTTATTGTTAATAAAGGGATAGAGGAACAAGTGAAATGCCTGCCCCACAGGTGGGAGACAGGCAAATCCAGAACATAGGACATTCTATAAGATAACTGGCCTGGTCTCCTCAAAGAGTCACTGCTAACACCCTTACTAGTGTTATTTGCATTTCTGATTGTTTCCTAAAAATGGGATAGCTGTGTCCATGAATGTGGCTTACTTTGGATGCACATTTCCAAATTGCTTTCCAGAAAGATTATACTAATTTACATTTCTATCAACTATATTTGAAAGTACAGGTATTTCACGGCATCTTTATCAACATGATTATTTTTTAATAACCAATTTGATAGGGAGAAAATATTTTATTACTAGTAATGTTAAACTTTTTTGTATAAATTGCTTATATTGATTCTGCTATAAATTGTCTTCTTGTGTAAACTGCTTTTTCTACTGTGTGTGCAGGCTGCTGTGGAGGATATGTATGGCCATACGTGTGTTCTATACATTAAAAATGCCATAATTTGTCTATAATACATTTGTAAATATCTCCCTGGAATGTCCTTAACATCATAATTTTTTTTAAATGTATAATCTTTTCCTTAATGACTCCTTCCAATGTGTTTATTCCTTTCTCATTACAAGCTCAAATAATTATGTGCCTGTGTTTTCTGGTAATTTGTTTTTATGGTTTTGTTTTTTACATTTAATTCTTAATTCATCTGGAATTTATTTTGGTGCATGCTATGAGACCAAGATCTAACTTGACTTTTTCCTTCAAACATCCTATTTTTCCAATACCTTCCTCATTGGTTTATGTTGCTTCCATCATCATACACCAGGTTCTTATGCAGATAGGGATCTATTTGAGGATTCCTATTCCATTCTACTACTTTTTTTGTTCCAGTATCATACTACTTTAATTACTATAATGTTATAAGGCATTTTAATAACCGTCAAGGCAAGTCCGTCCGCATTCTTCCTTGACAAAATAATATCAAAATTAGTAGATATTATCTATTTGTTCTTCTAGATACATTATAATCATTTTGACAGGCTCCCAAGAATAATTCCATTGGAGGCTGCACTGAACCTCCATGCGATATTTGAGAACTAAAAATTGTATAATAGTCAATCTTGCCATGCTGACGTATGACATGTCTTTATTTCTTAAATTTTTATATCACTCAGTAAGGTTTTTAGGTTTATTTTTTCATTCAGATTTCCTACTTTTCTTATTTTCATTCTATTTTATTTCCCCATTACATTTATTAACTGGTAATTGCAGGGATTTAAGAAAGTCTTGTCTTTGCCTTGTAGCTGTCCACTTTTCTGAGCCTCCTTATTAAGTCCAAGTTTTTGAAATCGATTCTGTTAGGTTCCACAGGAAAGAAATCATACCTCTTACCTCAGTTCATATCAAGTGGATCAGCCTTCAAAATACTGTCTAGTCATGAAATTACAAATTATATCTGTATGTACCATATGCCAGGAACTGTTTTATGCATTTTTCATATTAACTCGTTAAATGCCTACAACCTGTAAGTACTTCTATTATTCCAATTTTATGGACATGAAACTAAGGCACAGGGAGGTTAAGTAGCCTGCCCCAGGTCACACCACATCCTCAGAGGGATGAGGGTTTCACATCAAGTTTTCCACCACTCTCTTGGGCTTCACTACTAATTTTGGAAAGGAATCTGCCAATACTAAGAATGACACTGGCTGACTGATTAAAAAAAAAAAAACAACTTTATATGCTGCAATCAAAGGGATTCTTTATTCAACAGACACTCCCTGCCTCCCATGTGTCAGACACTGTTCAAAGGCTGAAAGCATCCTTCACTTTAAAAAATAAGACACTTTTTAATAAACATGCCAAGTTACACCCAATTTTTGTTTTGCTCTACACAGATAAAGGTTTTCACCTTTAATCCACTGATGGGAAGTGTTACATTAAAAGATTTCCTAATACCTTACCCTCTGGTATGGCCCTCATAGGTGGGATGGAAGAGATTTATAAATACCTACAACACAAACAAACAAACATACAAATAGCTTTTTTTCTGTTAATATTAGATTTTAGCAATAAGGTGATCCTCTGGAGAATTCCAGCTTCCTCTCTGCTCTGGAAAAGCCCAGGGTTATTATCAGTGACTAGAAAATCTCAACAGCTTCACTGGTAGAACAATGAAGCCACAGAGCCTAGATTGGAGGTAATTTTTAAATGAATTTCCCGTTTCTTGCATGGATATTGGTAATTTTTGATTTTCTGCTTCTTGGGTTGATTTGGTGGTTTAAATTCTTTTTCTCAGAAAAAGAATCCATTTCAATGGAATTATCTACTATTATAGACACAAACACCATTTTCTTTTCATGTTTACATTTTCTCTATAGCCATTGTTATTGTCCTCTTTCAAACTTCTAGGTTTTTTTTCTTTTTTCTTAGATGTACAAAAGATTGGTGTATCTTATTATATAGGTTTTTGTTTAAGAGGCAACTCTTACATTTCTCAAAAATCTTTAGTTTTTAATCCGTGTCTACTTTTAATTCTTTCATTTTTCCTGTTCTCCTTATACATTTTTCCTTTTCCCTTTTCAGACTTGACCATTCTTTTCAAACTTGGAGTTGACAGCTTAGTCTCAACTTTACCTATGAGTTATTTGGAAAAATACTTTTTAAATGTATAAGTGATATTTAAGATACTGTTATTTAACATCTGTTGCTGCATTGTGTCCAGAGAATGTAAATGTAGAAGACAAGCCTTCTGATTTGAGAAGTTAGTTGGGGTTTTCGAAATTTCTGGCCTGCCGCAGAAGGTCAGTTTTTTGGGGGTTTTTTGTGTTTGTTTTGTTATATTTTTTGGGGATGGAATCTCGCTCTGTCGCCCAGGCTGGAGGGCAGTGGTGCAATCTCTTGGCTCACTGCAACCTCCGCTTCCCAGGTTCAAGCTATTCTCCTGCCTCAGCCTCCCAAGTAGCTGGGATTGTGGGTGCACGCTACCACACCCGGCTAATTTTTGTATTTTTAGTAGAGACGGGGTTTCACCATATTGGCCAGGCTGGTCTCGAACTCCTGACCTTGTGATCCACCCACATCGGCCTCCCCAAGTGCTGGGATTATAGGCGTAAGCCACCACGCCTGGCCAGAAGGTGAGTGTTTGGCAGCTGTTCCATCAATGCCATGTGCAGTGCCCAAGCCCTGGTTCCGTGTGTGTCGTGACCACAGCCCCTGAAGCCGAGGCCTGGCATTTTGCTCACTGTTTCACCCAGGCACCAAGCACAGCACCTGGCAAGTAGTAATCAGTCAATAAACACGGGTGAGTCGGAATTAATTAATTCACTCCAATGACTAGACTCGCAAGTGTTTCTAGGTCTTTCAGAGCACTCTCATCTGTGCTTTACGTGCTTCGTGTTCTTCCCCTGAGCTTTTATTGTAATGTTCTCAGCCCTGCAAGGGGACCTGTACCCCTCACCTCAGGAAAGTGCTCTGGCTGTCTCTCTGGTGGCGATTTCTCTCTGCTTCTTTAGAAACAGCAAAGATTCTGGGTAAAGAGTGAGGCTAAAATGGAGCGGGGGGGCTGAGAGGCATGGGCTGCTGGGGACAGGCACTTGCGCCCATGCCCAGCACGGAGCTGGCGAGAGCTGCTCTGTAGCTGCCATTTCCCATGCACCGCGTGTTCACCAGGCACAGGCGCCACACCAGAGAAGTCACCACAGATTACAACAGATGCCCCCCTAAGCGCCCTGGTGAGCTGAAGCACAAGGCCATGCGAGCACGCTGGCTTTTAGCATCAACATCTTTCCCTGGGGACCCACTCACCTCTCAGGACTGTCCAAAGAAACTGAAAAAATGCTTGGGTGAAATCAGTCCTCTGGGCACAAGCCTAGCAACACAATTCTGAGAACATGAGCACATTTTTGGTCATACCCCACCTCCTACCTGTCCTTGCCACTTCCATTCTTCAGATTCACGTCTGTGCCATTAGAAACTAGGATTTTCACAAGCCTAAAGGAAACAAACTTAACTGTAGCTAAATAAGTCACCTTGATCACTCAGAGCCCACAACAGTCCAGTAAAAATGGGTAACGCAGTATCCAAGATGCATCTTTGCGACAGTTTCTTCCCGGCACCTTCAAGAAGCCAGCTGGTTTTAAAACCAGGCATCACTAAACCAGAAAACTACCTCTTCATTCCAAATACATGGGCTTTCACCTTTGACACGAGTTATTCATTAAAATCAAACTAAAGCACATGAAGCACATTGTGCTACCGAAATGGTTCACTACCCTCTGAATGGCCATTGTTAAAATATTTTTAAATGGTAGCATTTAATGAAAACACATTTCTATTTTTTTCAAATGGCATTTAATTAAAATATAAATGAAAATAAAGCATTAATAATTATCTCTATGTGGAACAGATAAGAGTGTATCTGTGAAAATTATATCTTAGCAACCTAGCAGAAAGTTTTCCAGAATAAGCCTCTCTTTACATTTTTTAAAAAGAGAAATTCGAATTCCAATAACCAGTTTTCCAAAAACATATAAAATATATTGCATGTAATTAAATGGTTACCTTTCTTCCTCAACATACGATTACATGTCTTACATTCTCTCCTGCATGTTGTGTAACTTGATTATAACAGCTGGATTTCGAAGCCATCATATGGTATGGTTTGGCGGACACAAAAGAAGTGGGGTTCCTCTATGGCCCTTTTCCCTCCCAACCCTATCCTGACCAGAGCCCTTAAATAAAGTAAAAAGTTAAATCCCCAAGAGAGATTTTTTTAAAAAAAAGGAAAAGGCATACCTGATGTATCCTTTCTGGGCAGCAACCATGAGAGCGGTAAAGCCAAACTTATTGGGAACATCAACCTTAACATGGCTTGGGAAAAACACAGAGAAAAGAGATGAGCATGCTCCGTATAGCTCCTGCAGATTCAAAGCTGGTGGTTCTCATGGAGCTTAGGTGGCTAACATGACTCATGTTACTAATTTCTTCAGGGTCATTAAGTCTTTTCTTGTCTTAGACTGCTAAGAATCTTCTAAAATAGATCCCTAATATTCTACAAGATTCAAATGCATAATAAAAGAGAAAATTGTTGTAATTTCATTTAAAATAGGCACTCTCTTCGGCTGAAAGCTATTATGCCATCAGACAAAGCACTGTCCGACAAACACAGCTCTTTAAGATAGCTGAGGACGGTATCTTCACTGCTGACTCTCAGCTTCACCGAACATGAATCTGTATATTGGTGGAGACTCAGGCTTTATCCCTTGCCTCGCATCTCACCTACCAGGTGGAGGGCAGTGCTGTTGAGAGAAGAAAACAGAGGTCTTCACGCCCATGCTCCAGCATAGCTGCTTTGGCTTTTTGTGGGAACCTTCTCTTAAGAGCTCCAAATTACAGAGCTGAAATTCAAAAATGACTTGTCTTCTAGGGTACTCAAAACTATTGATTCAAAAAGAACCTAGGTAACATCGCCTACTTTTCATTTAGGAGGCAGCTTCAAACATCTCATCTGAAGCAGCTGGATTCACCATTTTCCCTCTAGTGTTATATCAACCTTTTAAATTAGAAAGCAGTTGATTTGGTGATTCCCTCATTTCATCAGAAATTAGACATGGGCATTTGGGGGTGAAATTTGCCTAAATGGCTTGTAAGCAAGAGACAGAAATTATTTCTGGGAAGAAAATAGGACACCCAGCCTTGTCATTTCCTTTTACAATTTCTATTACACAATTATGAAATTTAACATTTACCTGGGGCTTCAGGAGCATCTTTATTAACTATAGTTTACTAAGTCACACCAGTCACCTGAGATCCATTCCGGAGGCAGTTTCAAAGGCATGGGAAATTTTAGGAAAACAAAGTGAAGCTACTGCATGTATGTTTCTACACATTTCATAGGCATGGGAGAAAAAAAAACACCGGCTGAGTTCTCTCACCCTCCTTGAAGTATTCGGACAAGCAAATCTTCATCATTCACACTGACAGCCCGATGAAAGTGCTCACTACTTATGGGCTCTCCTGGAGAAATGAGATGGAAGGCAGTCATCCAGAACATCAGGAAAGGAGACTCCTCCTTCTCCTCCTTGCCATCTTCCTCCTGTGGCCTTCAGGGGATCATCTCCAAGAAGGCGCTTGGCTAGTCCTGTAAGTACATCTTACATTTCCTACTCAACTGCCTTTCTTACCCAAAAAGACCTTGTTTTCACATACTAAGAGAACATTTTGACTGACCTAAAGGCTTGGGACATTTTCAAGTTATAAAGTGTTGCTTTGTGAATGTTATTTTGATATTTGGAAATAATCCTTTCACATTTCATAAGACTTAATAAATGTCCCCTACAAGCAAGGGAAACCTCAGCCATTGTCACAACGTGCTAGTTTTATTTGCCAAAGAGATGTTAAACTACTTGGATAAACAAAAAAGGACAAAGTGCTTTAACATTTGAAATTAAACTTTTCAGTTCTTCCCAGGAATGGCCTTGTCTGCTCTGAGCTTGTGGGGGCAGAAGGGCTTCTACCCACAGGGAGGTAGGGAGGTAGGGAGGTGGGGAGCCCTGGGAGAAACTCCAATTAGGGAGAGAGCTTGCCCAGGGGAGTCCAGAAGCCTGAAAGAACAATGGGCAACAGCAGGGGAGGAGGGCGTCCTTTGTACAGGGGACATTAGCTCTCAGGGAGGCCAGCAGGCAGAGGGAGAAAAAAGGGTTATGTGGATGCTGCCCTTCTTTCTAGGCCTTTATAGTTTCATTTGTCCTTATTTTACACCTTCTGATTTTAAAAATTATCACCATTAAGCGTAAATGAAATAACACAAGTGAAGCGCCTGGAATAGCACCTGGCACGTCGTAAGCACCCAGCACACACCTGTTGTTGCTGTGACAGTAGTGGCAGCTGCCATCATCCGTGGATACAGCCCCACCACCTCTTATGTTCTCCAGCTGTACGCCCAGCCCCTCACCCGCACTCGGCAAGCGTTTGAGTGCATAATTCCTGGTCTAAGTAACCTCAAAGGTCTCATTCACTCACTCAACAAACCTAAGTAATGTACATGCCAAGTCCTGTGCTAAGTCCTGTGCTAGGCTCTAGGGGATTAGCATGAAAAGAGCTAACCATTAGCTCCCATGCTCATTTACGCTGTAGTGCCCACTTTCAGCCCGTTATTACTCTAAACTCTGAAAGAAAATATCCACTCCTATCCTAGCCTCCCCCACTGCACCCCACACTGCCTCCTGGGGCTCATTCATCCTCCCTCTTACAGCCTGGTCCAGAGAGATCAGCAGGCCTCCCTCTTCCTGCTCCTTATGGTAGAAAGTCTCTCTGGGGTATCAGTTCCTGGGCATAGGAGACACTTTTCTCTGGGTTTCCCTGGAGGGTTTCAGTGGTGCACAGCGACTTGGGAAACATGCAAACTGGGAAACAGTGAGACAGGAGAATAAAGGGATTTCTACCAGAATGATCTGTAGCTGAGACCTTTTCCTTTCTTTCATAAAGATAAATTTATGCCAAGTTTAAATTATTTTGAAATAACAATTTTGTCTGCTAGAGTTTGCCAATCTCTTACACATTTTTTTTTAGCTACATTATACTTCCTTTTCATCGTTCCACACGTTTTTTAGACCAAAAGCTTCAAATAAAAGTCGCATGATAACCTGCCCAAGGCCAAGGCTCACAGCTGTCCCTGGCCTTCCAAGGGAGGTCAGGCGTTGCCCAGGGGTCTCACTAGAAGGGCTTAGGAAGGAGCGGGGTTTTATGCCCCAGAGGACATGTGGCAATATCTGGTGACATTTCTGGTTGCCACAACTAAGGGGATGGTGCACTGACACCCAGAGGGTAGAGGCCAAAGAAGCTGCTGAACATCCACAGTACACAGGACAGCCCCCCACAACAGAGAGCCATCCAGTCCCCACATCCACAGTACTCAGGACAGCCCCCCACAACAGAGAGCCATCCAGTCTCCAAATGTCAGTAGTACCAAAATGGGAACACTGAACTAGATAATGAAGGGCTTAAAATTATCACACGTCTCATCTACATGTAGGTGGACGAACTAAACCCATAGCTTGTTTCCCTTTATGTTACTAACCAGGAGATGAAAGGTGGTATGTTTATAAAAGTCTCTGTTATCCCACCAGAAAGGTGCCATTTTCTCCTCATCTCAAACTTCAACTGCCACTAAAAATATAAAAACAAGTCATTTGGATAGAAGCACCTGTAACAACATATAAAACTCATTCTAGCCGGGCGCGGTGGCTCAAGCCTATAATCCCAGCACTTTGGGAGGCCGAGGCGGGTGGATCACGAGGTCAAGAGATCGAGACCATCCTGGTCAACATGGTGAAACTCCGTCTCTACTAAAAATACAAAAAATTAGCTGGGCATGGTGGCGCATGCCTGTAGTCCCAGCTACTCAGGAGGCTAAGGCAGGAGAATTGCCTGAACCCAGGAGACGGAGGTTGCGGTGAGCCAAGATGGCACCATTGCACTCCAGCCTGGGCAACAAGAGCGAAACTCCGTCTAAAAAAAAAGAAAAAAAAGAAAAAAAAAAAACTCATTCTATTTCTACTAAGTCGTACAATGTGTGGTATCCTAAATCAAATCCTATCAGTTAGGCTGTATGTAGGATTTTTATACCATCCTTTTAAAATTCTCCTCCAAACCACAAGACTAAGAGTCAGAAGGGCTGAGTGGTCCAAGGCTGCCCAGTTAGGAGAGGGCAGGATCAGAGCCAAGGCCAAGTCTTTCATGAGGCTCACTCCTTCCCTTTAGTATTTAGTAAATGCTGCAGTATCAACCAATTTATTATATGTCTCCATGCTTATTAAATTTTGAATACAGATGAACATCTTAAGTAAATGTGATCCTCCCCCAAAGTGTTAAAAGAAAGGGGATACCTAAAAATCTTCCAGAAAGTGCTAACTGCTTGAGACGTTAGGTTCTAAGTACACACCCCCAACCACCTCTCTACCCCGACCCCCCACAGCCTCAATCTTACCTGAATGACCAGGCTCTGGAGGGGGAGGGGGGACACACACTCCCTACAGCATCCTAGCCAGGAAGATCTGCAGCATGCAATGGTTGGAAAATGAAACAAGTTCACTGCATGCTTATAAGCTTGAGGACCATTTATAGCAAAGACCAGGGCTTTTGGTATTAGGATATAATCAATGTCATGTCAATTCCAGCTTCCGCAAGAGGTAATGAGCACTTCACAGCTTACTCTAAGAACAAAGGGACACCTCAGAGAAGAGAGGGGAATGACTTAATTGTTCCTCAGTCCTTGCTTGCTGAGCAGTAACCTCCTTTCTGGGGTGTGAGAGCTCTTTCTCAGCGTTAACCATCCTCCGCTACTACCAGGAGGGGAAGGAGGGACTGAGGATTAAACTGGAACCTGTGTGAAGCAAAGAGGCACTGAAACATCTCCATTTACATGAATTTGACAAAGAAACAGAAAAGAAATGAAAAAACCCTTGTTTTCAGTACACAGCAATTCTTTCTACTCCCACTATCAGCAGGAGTCCTGCAGAACAGAGAGGAAATTCAAGGGTGAACAGAATGTTCCATTCCTCCCACCCCTGAATCCTTCAAGACTTTGTGGGCCTGGCCCAAGGGAATGCTATCAATAAGTGCAACTGAATATATTTTAAAGGCTGGCTGTTGCTTTGTGGGTTTGTTTTTGTAGTGTTTACCCTGAGTGCTGCAATTACAAATATCAAACTGATTCTACCCATGGTGAGGATGTCAGCCCATACTCATGTAAGCCAGATGGAACTCACCAGTCAGGGCCAGGTGAGCAGGGACACCAGTGAGGAGAAGGGCAGAGCAGGGCAGAGTGGGCTTGAGGAAGCCATCGCTCATGTTCTCTAACAGGGTCATTTAGCTGCAGATGTACCAGTAGATAGTATAATGTGGTGATAACCCCTTTCTTGGTGGAATTTTAAGTCTTTATTAAAAGCAGTGAATAAATCAGGAGCTCATTGGAGAAGATATTTGCCAATTAACAAGTAGCAGCTGTTTTTCTTTCTTTATAAGGGCCCAACTGATTAAAATTGTATGCCTCATTTAAGCAAGAATCTCGTGTACTTTACCTGGGGAGAAAAAAAGGCTGTACATTCTTTATTCAAACAAAGTGCATGCCTCTGTGATTCATTAAAACACTCTGAAACTGAATACAAATTATCACCACACAGAAGCATTTGCACTTGCTCTGTATCATGTGCACATTTTTAGTTCTTTGTTTAGCATGATCTGCCTCCTTAGGAGAATCTGCTTTGGATATTATAAATATGTAACAATAGCTTAAGGGAGCTACAGCCAGCCCGCAGAGGCAACAGCCTGCCCCAGCCAGGAGGAGGAGGACACCTCATCCTCACCACCTAGTACAGCCCCCTTGAGGCTGAGAAGGCTTCCTGGCTGCAGGCAGTGACTCTATTGTCTGGCAGTGAAATGGCCAGGATCACTTCCCAACACACACACACCCCTGGTCACCACCTCACACTCATCCCTGCAGGCCTCATCTAATCACTCATGGAAGCCGTAAAGACAAACACCCTGCGCCAGCTCTCCATGGCTGCCTCTGGAGCCAGCTCAGTGAGAAGGCACACCTGGCCCACAGGCACAGCCTGATCTAGTTTGGCTGTGTCCCCACCCAAATCTCATCTTGAATTGTAGCTCCCATAATTCCCATGTGTCAAGCCATGGGAGGGACCTGGTGGGAGGTAATTGGATCATAGGGTTGGGTCTTTCCCGTGCTGTTCTCCTGATAGTGAATAAGTCTCATAAGATCTGATGGTATTATGAAGGGAATTTCTACTGCACATGCTCTCTCTTGCCTGCCGCCATGTAAGACATGCCTTTCCTCCTCCTTTGCCTTCCACCACAGTTGTGAGGCCTCCCCAGCCATGTAGAACTGTGAGTCCATTAAATGTCTTTCCTTTATAAATTACCCAGTCTTGGGTATGTCTTTATTAGCAGCATGAGAACACACTGATACATAGCCCTTCCTAAAAGAGCTTCAAATGGTACGTCAACCCCATGTAAACTCAGGCCAGGAGATCCAGAAGCCCCTGTCCTGGCTTTGATGTGCTATTAAGAGGATGCTAGAGGCCACCTGAAGCTGACCATGGAAGGCTGCAGAACAACCATATTCACCTTCACCTGGAAGGTTCAGGTAGACTCTCACTGGCCAGTGGAAAACTAATCCATCTCCCAAGTGACATAAACGCAACCTGAGAAAACCATTGTTTCTTTTCATACTCTTTATTCTGCCACTGGTCCTTAATTCATCATCCATCCATCCATCCATCCAACCATCCATCCATCCATCCATCCATCCATCCATCCATCCAGGATCTTCTTTTTTTAGAGAAAGAGTCCTGCTCTGTTGCCTAGGCTGGAGAGTGCAGTGGTGCCACCATACCTCACTGTAGCCTTGAACTCCTGGGCTCAAGCGACCCTCCTGCCTTGGGCCATAGGCACACACACTGACTTATTTATTAAGGATCTCCCACAAGCTAAAGATGGCCGATGCATCACCCACCCTTTCCAAGCCCACAGTGTAGGTGGGAGGCCAAAAGGTAGACAAATATGTAGGAGAAGGTGCAAGAAGTGTTCATACAGGTGGGGGAATACTGCTCTGTACCTGGGGAGGAGGGAAAGCATGCGACAGAGGGGAAAGCCACACGAGAAATCACCCCCACCATGCTTGCCCAGGGAGCAGGCTCAGTGAGCACAGCAATGGAGTGGGTGCTCCAGGGAGGAAGGGCAGAGTTGGGGGAGTATGGAGTGGCAGGAGGCCTGTGGGTGGGTGAGGACAGCAAGAGGATGGGAGGGAGCAGAAAGGTAGCCTGGGACGGCATCCTGGCCAGGGAGGCCTGGCGAGTCTCTGTTCACAGGCGTGGCCACCTCTTCTCCTGCCCCTTCTCCTGCTCGCCCTCTGCCTTCCTTCAGAACGCAAAGCTCATGTTCTGCCTTCTTTGCTTTCTCTTAAAAACCCCAAGGGTAAATACCTTCCATGTAACAGCAAACGTTCTCAACACTGCCAGATGAAGGAACAAGCCCTGTTTCTTACCCTGAATCCCCAAAGTTGACCATTTCACATCACAAGTGTCCTCTGAAAGTGTGTTTTTCTTTTTTTTTTTTGGGGGGGGGGGACGGAGTTTCACTCTTGTTACCCAGGCTGGAGTGCAATGGCGCGATCTCGGCTCACCGCAACCTCCGCCTCCTGGGTTCAGGCAATTCTCCTGCCTCAGCCTCCTGAGTAGCTGGGATTACAGGCACGCATCACCATGCCCAGCTAACTTTTGTATTTTAGTAGAGACGGGGTTTCACCGTGTTGACCAGGATGGTCTCGATCTCTTGACCTCGTGATCCACCTGCCTTGGCCTCCCAAAGTGCTGGGATTACAGGCTTGAGCCACCGCGCCCGGCCCTGAAAGTGTGTTTTTCACAGCTAAACTCCCAGTTTGCTAAATTCAGATCCTGTCTCCTAATGCCATGTCTGCAACTGAAGGTACTCAAAAGCCGAGTTAACTTTAGTCTACACAAAAATTGTCGTGAAGAAATGCCTAAAGGATATAGTTGAAAGCCACAGAAAGCACATATGTCCAAGCCAAATGCTACATCGAATGAAATGGAAAGATAACTTTACTCACAAAAGCAAAGTTACCTTTGTGCAACCGAGAAATGACTCACCTGTGTTTTTCAGTGGGTGGGCCAGGGAGAACACCTGTGACCATCCTAATTTTTACCACATTCTTTCTCAGAAGTGGCCCTGGACAGAGCATCTTTAAAATATTCAACCCAGAGACAATCTTAAAACTCAGCCGGCTGAAGGGCTCAGAGGCCTCCACGTGGAGCTCTCCCCCTCACAGGGTTCTTCGTGGATACAGCAGCTCCCTTGGCCCTTCCTCACTCACTGTGACCCCAGCAATCAGGTTCATGTGGCGAGTTAAGTCTCACACCCTGGGCTAGTCAAGATGAACAAGATGCTGAACAGAGCTGCTCACCCAAGGACGCCCAGGCAGGGGGCCTGCTTGGCTCTGTGGGGACACTTAGGCTTTCCCAGCCCTCCTCCTGTCACCCCTCACCTAAAAAGATGACTCCACCCTTTTGTGCTGAATGACTACTAGTAGGAGAGTTCTGGCACAAAAAACAGCTCTCCCAGTTTGAGAGAGCATCATTAGACTTCCCTGACATTACAGGTTCTGGCGAGGCCCAACTAGTAAATGTGTTGCAGTGTTTAAAATTGGAATCATTTTTGCTTCTGGTAAGGCAGAACAAGAGGCAGAGTATTTTATCTCTAAACTGCTTGTCATCTCCACTGATCTACAGACAGGTGAGCGCAGAGGGTCTGAATACTCACTGGTTGTAGACACTGAGACGAGTGGGCTGTACTCACACTCCCCAGAGGGGCTGGTGACCTTCAGGCGAAATCTATATAGTGTCCTTGGTTCCAGACCTTCAACAACATGCTTCGTTGCATATCCCCTAGACAGGAGGAAACAAACATGCTGAGGACACCAGGTAACCTAGCCCACACGCTCTGATGAGACACGAGAAGAGCAGGCGGAAGTGATTTTCCTTCTATTTCCAGGACAGAGCTGATGGATCCTGCTTTGCTGAAGTCCTAGAGAATAAAGGACAGGTCCCACATGGTGCCTCTCTGTCCCATTGAGCCTAGCCCAGGGCCTGACACATAGCTAGCATGCAGTTTTGTACTTTTGAAAAACAATCATGTTAACCGTGATATCTGTCCTCAAGTGACAAAGTTTTATATTTGAAAGACATGACAGGCAGTCAAATCATACACACGTTATTTTCAAGTGGGGCCCATCGAGTGGTGGGAGCCATCGAGTGGTGGGGGCAGTGAGGTTCATACACGGCCGCATAACTACTGCGGGCAAAATACCACTGCAGGGCAAGGACCTGAAGAAGTCACATGCAAGACTGCTTGTAGCCCATGAACAGCTTCTAGTAGAGCTGGGAGCTCAGGCAGCACATGGAAGACAGTGCTAATATCATGCCCCATGGTCAAGTTCATCTTAGGAATGTTTGTGGGAAATGGATGCTGAGCACTTCTGGGATAGAGACTCACGATGGAAATCCACACACCTCCAGAGGGAAGTAGTACTGAGTCTAATCATGTGCAGCCTGCAAAATGAGCACCAAGACATGCGGTTAGGCAGTCTGCCTGCCTGCTAGGATGATGCTGGGACCCAGCAGAAGTACTAAGGTAAGATCTCACCCTCTGCTTGTCAGCAGGTCCCAGGAGCCTGGCTTTGACTTGGCATGCATTCTATAACATCAGGTCTCCAAAAGTTGAAAGAGCCATACATGCTTCCCAATATTACCCAAAGCCTCTATATTACCCATTTCTCTTTGCTGCCAACATTTTTTATTCTTATCTGACTAAACTCCATGTATCCTTTCGCAAATCCTAGCTCTCTAAATTGTTATCTTCTACTCAAAGTCTTGGTTTTTGAGAAAGAGAGAGAGAGAGAGAGAGAGTGAGTGTGTGTGTGTGTGTGTGATTTCCAGCTCTTTCTTCTTTCCTGCTTCAACACTCAATCTGGTTCTTGTTCTCTTCCCTTGGACCATTCTCCATAGCCCCTTAGATGCCAAGGTTACCACTGTTTCCTCCTATTTTTTTTCCTGTCTCTAGTTTTCCTTTTATTCTCAACAGACCCTCCCAAAATACCAGAACCATTCTATGGGATTCACAACTAATTTTTCAAGGATGATTACATGCAACTAAATATGTATACATCAATTCTATTCTGGGCTATGCAACGAGTGTATCTCATGCCCATTATTTGCAAGGTGCTGAGACAGGCTGGGATGCAGCCCTGAGCCAGCTCAGGGCCAAAATGAACCTGTCAACACTAAGTTGACCCCAACTTTCTACTGATGGGGTGACAGGAAGAGGGGCATCAAGGACAGTTGGGAAGGGAAGCTGGGCAAGGGTGAAATGCCAGTACTGGAGTTAGCATCACCAATAACACCTGAAAAAACCCGACTTCAGATCTGGGCCGGGTGGGTGAGCTAATGCCTCATCTAATCATCAAACAGCCTTGCCCACTCGCTCCCAGCCCCCACCAGATTTTTTTCCCTGAAGGACAAGGCATGGCATTAAGTGTGTGGCTAAAGAACAGACCCAACACTTGTCTAGAGGGAGGAATATCTCCAAAGGCGAACCCAGAAGGGCTTCTAAGTTCCTTCTGCCAAACTCAACCATCAAACAAGTAATTCCCCCACTGAGGAACAGGCACAGGCAGGAACAGCCATCTGAGGAAAGGGTACAGGGCAGAGGAGGTGAGGTAGCAGGAGAGTGTCCTCTGGTAGAGTTATCTCTGATGTCAAGTGAGAAATGGTATAAAGGACTTCCATGACAGACAGGCAGACATCTCCCAGGCAGTCTGAGAAAGCGGCTCCCCAGCCGGGTTGGAAGGACACACAATGCCTGAGAAAGTCATGGTCTAGGCGCTCTCATTGCTGTGAGTCAGGGTGTAGAAGAGTCTGGCGTGTCCAGGAAGGAGGTTCCTCCGTGAAATCTGGAGACAACTAACATCATAATTCTAACTCTAACATTTAACAGAACTTTTTTTTTTGAAAACTAGAAAACATTTACAAAGATCTTCTTTACTTGACGCTTCTTTCCTTTCTTAAAATGTGACATTGTAAGGTAAAATCAAAATCAAGTACTGAACATTTACTGATCCTTTTTTTGCATCACAAAGTCACTTGAGGCACCAAATCCAAATGACTTCTTGGGTGTAGCGCAAGCAGAGCCAAGAAAAAGACAAAGCACATCAAGACACCTCCGACCACGTACGTGCCTCTGCCTCCCTCTGTGCTGGTGGATTCAGCCTCCTAACTGACATCATTTGTGCTGGAAACACATTTTTCTTCACCTTCAAGAAGCCAAATGTGCTGGAAGTCAAGCTGTCCTCCACAGTCCCTACCATCCCTGCAGGAACTTGTTCCTCTCCACACGGAGCTAGAGTCTAGTTCCTCTCCCTTTGAACGGAATGGAATGTGGTGGAAGTGCTGCTGTACAGCTCTGGGTCTGGGCCTTAAGACGCCCAGAAGTTGCTGCTTCTCCTCCCTTGGAAGCTGACCATCATGTAAAGAAGTTCAGCTTCCCTGGTGGAGAAAGAGGCCACCTGGTAAGATAGTCAGCGGAAGATCCAGACCACAAGGGAGATGAAGAAGCCCAGCCAGTCTCCTGTTGTCCTGGCCATCTCAGCTGATGCATCACACCTGGGTGAAGCCATTTGGATCTTCCAGCCCCAAGAGAGCTGCAACAGCCAAGACCACATGCGGCATCAAGCCATCAACACCCTAGCCAAATTACAGATCATGAGCAAACACATGACCATCCCTGCTGTAAGCTGCTAAGTCTGGGGCTGGTTTGTGATGCAGCAGACGACTGAGGTAGTATGTATCAACAAAAAGGAAACTGTAAGAAAGACAATGAAGAAATAATACCAATGGCATTACAACCCTTCAATCCAGAAACCAAGAAGTAGATAGGTGTTAAAAGTTGATACAAATACATTTACCATAAAAGTGAAAGCTGTAAAACTAAGATAAATATTCAGAAAAACTGCCTGGGCTAAAAAGTAATAACTTTTTTTTTAAACAAAAATGTATCAGCCTGGCACAAAGTAGTCTTGTGAGTAGGTAAATTTTGATGTTAAATGAAAATAGGCCCATGAATACTTATTTTAGTCATAGAAACTGAGCCCTCAACAATGTGTGGCATCTGAAAAGATTTTTAGAAGTTCAATGAGAATATAATATCCAAGCCTCACTGGAATTCAGTGCAAGGTGTCAAAGACTTAGCGTAGTATTAAACCAAAATAAAACCAGAAGTGCTCCCAATAAAATCCAGTATTGCTGAATATCATAAGGTCACCCTGAAGCAAATGGTACCTCCATAACCCCTGGAAAGGGTAATAACCAAAATGTGTTAGAAACCAGATGTTACCAAGCACACTTACGGAAGGCTGAAGACTCTCACATCACTAGAGATGGCTCCAAAGAGTACAAAAGACACAGCAGGAACCCAGGTCACAAATGTCCACCTGGGTACTCCACAATGATTACCATACAGGTGCAGGGGACTCACAAAAGCAGTTCATCGAACCCGTGGAGAAGCACAACTTTCCCTAGACATGATAGCTTAAGAAAATGAAAGAATCTTGGAACTATTTCCACAGTAGAGGAAAATATACAAACATGTAAAGCATATCCTTGTTTTTATCAGTCAATAAGCAAATGTTTGACACGAGAGCTGAGCAAATATGAAACGTAAGAAGCTAAATATTGAAAAGCCCAAAGACTCAAGTTACCAGACTTCCCTTTCTTCTCCACACTCCCTCTGCCAGAATTCCAATCCAGCCTCATGCTGATGACTCCAGAGTCTGTCACTCCAACCCAGACCCTTTCCCTGGCCCTTTCTTCCCCAACAGCCTCCTTGACATCTCGGCTTCCCAAACCAAGCACCTACGCCACCCACAGTCTTCCTCGGTTATCACAGTTGCTCAGGCCAAAAGCCTGGGTGCCTCCTGCAGAAGTCTGGATCGTTGTTCAGGGACGTGAGGTGCCCTCCTGCAAAGATCCCACCTCCCTGACCTATTGAACTTGGACATGGCTGCATGTCTTGCTTTGAGCAATGAAGTATACACAGAAGTAAAGTATGTCATTCTGGGTGAAAGCTTCAAGGAACAGCGAGCCATGCTCTCTCCCCTGCCACAGTGACTGACAATGTTCAGGCAGAGCCGCCGCATTGGCCTCAGCAGCGGTAGGGGGACAGTGCAGGATGGAGCCCCGGCCGACCCACGGTGGGCATGGTGGGTGGGAGACACCCACTGCTGCCATAGCCACCAGCACTGTGACGCTGATGCTTCAGGCAGCATAACTTGGCCTGTGCTGGCCGTTACATATCCCTTGACCATCATCTCTCTCTCTCTGTCTCATCCCATATCCAGTCCATCAGCAAGGTTTTTACATCCATCTTTAAAGCACATCCTGCATCCTCCCGCCTTCCACACTGTTGCGTTGTTTGCCTTCCACATCATGAGGGAGGAATATTTATCTGTTTATCCCCAGTACCATATCCCCAGCATCTGGAGCAGCGTCTGATACGTGGCAGACAGTCGGTAATACATGCTGACGGGGTAAATGGAATGCGTGAGCAGAAATGATCACAGGGATTTAGGGGACAGACAACAAGGTAGTAAGTAAGGAGAGCTTCTCGGTGGAGGTAAAATCTGACCTGGGCAGAGAAAAGAACAGAGTGAGAGGGGACAATCTGTCCAAACAGGGAAAACAACTGAACACACATGCAAGGCATATTCAAAGGACAGTAGGAAATCTGACTGGAGGGTTTGTGCTCAGAAACAAGAGGCAACAAGAAAGGTATGCATGGGCAAACTGTGAAAGGCATTAAATGTTAGTCCAAGGAATTTGGCCTTTATCTTTCAAGAAGTGGAGACCCACCAAAGACAATTTGACAGAAGAAAGATGAAAATGGAAATTGAGCAAGATAGAATGATGAGATAGAAGGTTTAAAAAATAAATGAAAGAGGAATAAGGTCAACTCCTTCCATCAGAAAATACACTGAGCAGGTGTAGGAGCTGGGCATCCAAGAATGAGCTAGACGGAAATGGAGCTTAAATCCTGCAGGGAGCACCACAGCTAATGAGGAGAAGCACAGAAGCGGCTCTACAAATGGAGAACACAGTAACTGATGCTATGAGAAGCCAAGGAGGACCGCCCCGGCCAAAGACAATGTCATTGATTCCAGACAGACTGATGACTGATGAGAACAGAAACCAACAAATCAGGAAGGAGTTCTTAAATCCACAATCCAAAAATCAGGTACTCTAGATAATCACTTTTTACAAAAAAAGTATTTGCTAGTTTAACACTATGTAGAGAAAGACAAAAGGAAGCAAAAGAGGTCAAGATTAATACAGCCTAATTCTGCCACCTAGCGTCAAGGTTTGTACCGTATAATTCTGCAGGAAATGCAGGCATTTCCCCCCTGCCCTTAGAGTGGGGACCACAGATGTCAGTGCCAGCCCCACAACACCAGGCTGTCTTCAAAGTGCGAATGCGTTTTTCAGCCTGACAGCAAACGGGTCTCTGGGGAGAATGCAGACAACACAGACACACACCTCAGGCTGGAAGTCAGCACACGCAGCTGTGGTTTCTCTAGCTGAGGCTGCCTACCTGCAACCCAGCAAAGGAAGAGCCAAGGAAGAAAGAACAATTCAGGATGGCCCCACTCACCTGCCCAACCACAGCCTGTGGTGCTAAGGTGATGTGGGAAAGAAACGTGTCTTTTTCTTTCTCCAGAGAAATACTTATCATAATTCATGCTTTTAGATAGGAACTACCTTCGACGAGTAAAACAACATGATTAAAATAACACTTGAGTAGTTAAAACAAGAATTATTTTTACATTGTAACTACATTTCAGATTTTTTTTAAGGTACACAGAAATTTCTCAAATATCAGATATATTATCACTTGGGTAACAGTTGAAGTTGAAGCCTTCATATACAAATTATATACATACATATTTTTATATATTTTACACACACACACACACACACACACACACCCCCTCATATCAGCACTTTTGTCACAATGCAAATTTGGAAAAGGCCAGAAGAGTGATGGAATTGTTGTGCATCTTGACTGCATCAATGCCAACATCCTGACTGATACTGCACCGCAATTCTCAAAGGTGTTACTACAGGGGAGAAATGGGAAAAGGTACATCCAATCACTCTGTATTATTTCTTACAACTGGACATGAATCTACAATTATTTCACAATTAAAAGTTTAATTATAAACTATATTTCTATCTCATTTTTCGTATTCCTGAATCACAAAATAGTCATTTTGCATTTTGCAAGTGGTAAATCTATCAAGGGAAAGAAATAATTCAGAGCCGATATGAAGGCGAAGAAAAAAAATAGCTTTTCTTTTTGAGACAAGGTCTCCCTCCGTCACCCAGGCTGGAGGTCAGTAGTACAATCGTGGTCTACTGCAGCCTCGACCTCCCAGGCTCAAGCGATCCTCCTACCTCAGCCTCCCAAGTAGTTGGGACTACAGGCATATGCCACCACACCTGGCTAACTTTTGTATTTTTTGTAAAGATGGGATTTTGCTATGTTGTCCAGGCTGGTCTTGAACATCCAGGTTCAAGGGATCCACCCACTTCAGCCTCCCAAAGTGCTGAGATTACAGGCAGGAGCCACCATGCCTGGCCAGAAACGACTTCCTGATTACTCCTGGTGGTATTTGTTCATGCAAGAAGCATTTGGAGGGCCTGCTGTACAGCAGGCAGCACTGTCAAGGAACCAGCTAAAGTGTTAAGCAGGCAGGAGTCTTATTTGTCTCTCACTGAGCTTAATACTGGGTGGGGAGGCAGGAAAGGAACAAGGAAAATAAGTAAACAGGTAAACAACAAAGTAAACAAGTAAACTAAGCAAGCAAGTAAAATCAGCCCAACAGAGCTAAGTGCTACGTGGCATACAAAAAGAGATTCTGAGCTACAGGAGGCTCGCATGGAAGAATGGCTACTTCAGATGGCCTTCTGGGGGCGGCGGCATGTTTGATCTGAGATTAGCATGGTGCAAAGGGACCAGCTGTATAAAAACAGAAGGAAATGTACTCAAGGCAACAGCAACAAGCAAGACCCTGCGATGGGAACCAGCGTGGTATGAGAGAGTTGACGAGGGGACAATGGTATGACATGAGATCAGAGAAGAGTAGACCATGTGGGGCCATCCCTTGTTGAACACAACAGCCTCACGGGAACCTCACCTAATTGTATCAAGCTATCGTTTGAGTCTGTCTCTACATTTTGGATTTTAAATACATATCATTAAAGTATTTCCAAAGTCAAAGAAGCTCTCAAAGTTCCAGAGGTTTAATTTCAGTGTTATCGCTAATGCCTATTTCCCCAAAATTGTAATTCATAAAACAGCATGAATACAAATGATGCTGACTCATTCTTTAATTTCAAACAAGCCATGGCTTTTTAGAGACAACAGAAATCGTTCTAGCTAATCAGGAAGTCAAAGTAAAGTGGTAAGCAATTCAACACTGCACCTACGTATAAATGATACCATAAGTGTGCATTTTGGGGTCTTCTTCTTCAATCGAGAACCTACACCACTGCTCCTGGGGTCCTCGGCGTTTGGCTTTCTTTTCCAGATCCCAGTATAATTCAATGCTGTGATGAGTCACTTTGCCCACAACAGGTGGATGAGGCCTTGAGGATGGCATGATTTCTAAAAAAAAAAAAAAGAATAATACCAAATTTTAGGACCTAGTTTCAATAAGGAAGAGAGACCAGTTGAGCGGATTACAGGTGCTTAGTGATCGGGCTATTTTTTTTTGCACACAAGGCACACATATGAGTATACCTCTCTGCTGTTTCAAGAACCCCTGAAAAGCTACAGAGATATAAAATTCAGCTAAGGCGTGAGCTACCGCAGTCTTCAACAAGCATATTGTACCATACCCATCACGTCACACCACCCATGGACCCTTCCAAAGCGTTGCTTAACATATCAAACTAATAAGGTTGTGGTCGAGCTGCTGGAACTCAGTTTGCTTCTATAATCCTTCAGTGACTGGCTAAGAAACAAAGCCAAGAGATGAATGCTACATCTGATCCAAATATCTGTAACATAGATAACAAAAGTTGACATCTATGCTGTATTAACAGCCCTCGCAAACTAATTAAGAATAAAGGCCCAAGGTTAGCCACGAACCTAGCAAAAGATGAGCAGCACAAAAAGGACAAAAACACATTGCCAAGGTAGTATCAGAAAGATGTCCATATCCCCTCGTGCTCACAGAAATTGATAACAGTGGGGTATAACTTTATCTCCAGACAGAAACTCAAAAAGAGATTTCATAATTATTGAAATTCACAAGATAGGGAGAGGATGTTCTCATGTGCTGGCTGTAGGGAAATATGAATTATGGCCTTTTTAGAGGGCAATGTGGCAGCATCTGTTAAAATTAAAAATACATATACCCCTCTTTCCAGCCATCCCACCCCTGGAAACTTCTGCAGAAATATACATGAGAATGAGTGGACAAGATGGCTGCCAAGAAGCAGCTAGACTGTCTGGCTCTCAAGGAGAACAGACGGGGCGAGTGAATACAACACCTTCAACTGAAACAGCCAGGTACTCACACCAGGACTCATCAAGGAAACAACTTGACTCACAGAGAACGAAGAAAACAAGACAGGACAATGGCCCACCTGGGAGCAACACGGAACCAGGGACCCTCCCCTGTCCACGGAAGCAGTGACTGGATGAGTGACCCAGAAACCAGGCTTCTCCCACAGATCTGTGCAAACCTCAGGTCAAGAGATCTCCTTGTGAACCCCTCTCCACCAGGGCCTTCAGTCTTCGTTCTGACAGACAGAGCTGCATGGAGTCTTGGCAGAGCAGCTGCTCAGGCGTGTGTGGAGACCCTGGAGCCTTAGCTACTCAGGCTTTCCAGCAAAGTGGCCATAGCTCTGGCAAATGGGGAGGTTAGACTCCTGTCCATACCCCTAGGAAAGAGGATGCATCCCGGGGGCTGAGCAGCAACAGCCCGCAGGCCCCACTTCCGCTGCATCGCACAGAAGACCACTGGCTTGGAATTCCAGCCGGCTACCGGTAGTGGCATTGCATGTCCCTAAGAAGGAGCTCCCAGTGGGACTGGCAGGCCACCATCTTTGTTGTTTGGGCACCTTAGCCATTCCAGCCTTTAGGCTTTGGAGAGTCAGAGGCAACACAGGACAGAAGGGATCCCCCAGCACCGCACCGCACCGCAGCTCCACCGAAATGTGGCCAGATTGCTGCTTTAGGCAGGTACCTATCCCGTTCCTCCTCACTGAGCAAGACCTTTCAACAGGGGCCTCCAGCCACCCCTCCCCGAGCTGTCCAACTGACAGAGATCTGAATTTCCCCTGGGATGGCACTCCCGGAGGGAGGGGTGGGTCACCATCTTTGCCGTTTGGGTGCCTTAGCCGTTCCAGCCTGTGGGCTTCATAGTATCTGAGGCAAGCTGGGGCTGAAGCGGACCCCAGCCCAGCACAACCGTTCTACTGAAATGTGGCCAGACTGCTTTTATAAGTGGGTCGCAATCCCATTCCTCCTCACTGGCCGGGACCTCCTAACCAGGGTCTCCAGCCACTTCCTACAGGTGTCTTTGGGCCAAAAGCAGGTTCACACTTCCCTGGGACGAAGCTCCCAGAGGAGGGGACAGGCTGCATCTTTGCCGTTTTGCAGCCTTCACTGGTGACACGTCCAGGTTCTAGAAAATCTGAGGTGACTAGGCACTGGAGCAGGCCCCAAGTATACCACAGCATCCCTATAGAAAAGTGGCCAGACTCACATGAGTGCCTCTTCCCGTACCTCCTCACTAAACAGGTCCCTCCAGGCCTGGGCCTCCAGCCACCCCCTGCCAGAGCTATGGAGCCAGTACCAACTCAGCAACTCCCTGAACAGAGCCTCCAGGGGCAACTGAAAGCCTCTGCCACAACCTCAGCAGTGGAACTGCCCTTGCTACCCTCAAACTAACAAAGGAGCAAAGACCCTAAAAGTGCCTTACCTACACCTCCAACAAGCTACAGTTGACCCAAGCAGAGGCAGCCAGTCCGTCTCCCACGGGTCCCACCCCCCCCACCCGCCATTGCTCATCACCAGACAGGGAACCCCCGGCTTGGGCACACAGCACAAACCCTGCATCTTGGGCTGACTGCACTGAGTGATTGCTGACCCACATCTCTCTGGCGTGGAGCCCCCAGGAGTCAACCAAATGACCCTTGGCCACAAATCCTGCTAAGATCTCTTCCTCTTCTGCCTCTAAGCTGGGGAAAGAACATAAACACTGAGCTCACCCCAGGGCTGCAGTGGGCATCCCAGGAGTGCCAAGTCACGAACTACAGCCAGGACTCAAGTGGGAGAGGAATGGGCAGTTTCAGAGCACTGAGAGGGAACACGGCTGAAACTGTGAGGCAACAGGGAAGCCACACACCCAAGCAAGAATCTACGAACTAACTGACCAATACCCCTCAGCACCGTCTACTGGATCACACCCCAAAGCTTGACCACCAAAAATACCTCATTAACATACCCCGCTCTGAAACCTGAGACAAGTAAGCTTCAAATACAGACCCTACAAAAAGCATTAATCCAGTGAAAACATCCAGAAAAGAAGTCTGTTGACTCTACTCAATCTATATTAAAGGAACACCCACACGCAGAGATGAGAAAGAACCAGCAAGAACTCTCAAATGGCCAGAGTGTCATATGTCCTCCAAATGACCATACCAGTCCTCCAATGAGAGTTCTGTACCGGGTAGAACTGGCTGGAATGAAGGAAACAGAATTTAGAATATGGATAGGAACAAAGATCACTGAGATTCAGGAGGTTGGTGAACCCCAATCTAAGGAAAGTAAGAGTCACAATAAAATGATACAGGACCTGAAGGATGGAATAGGCAGCATAAGAAAGAACCTAATGGGTCCGACAGTGCTGAATAATACAATATGAGAATTTTACGGCCAGGTGCGGTAGTTCACTCCTGTAATCCCAGCACTTTGGGATGCTGAGATAGGTGGATTGCCTGACGTCAGGAGTTCAAGGCCAGCCTGGCCAACATGGTGAAACTCTGTCTCTACTAAAAATACAAAAATTGGTCAGGCATGGTGGCAGGCACCTGTAGCCCCAGCTACTCAGGAGGCTGAGGCAGGAGAATCACTTGAACCCAAGAGGCAGAGATTGCAGTGAGCCAAGATTGCACCACTGCACTCCAGACAGCCTGGGTGACAGAGTAAGACTTTGTCTCACAAAACAAAACAAAAAAAACTTACATTGCAATCATAAGTATTAACAGCAGAATAAACCTGAAGAAAGAATCTCAGAACTTGGAAACTGGTTCTCTAAAATGAGACAGTCAGACAATGAAAGAATAAAAAGGAATGAATGAAACGTCTAAGAAGAATGGGATTATGTAACGAGGCCAAATCTACAAATCACTGGCATCCCTGAAAGGGAGGAGAAGAAAGCAAACAACTTGGCAAATATATTCCAGGATATGATCCATGAAAACTTCCCTAACCTTGCTAGAGGGGCCAGTTGTCAAATTCAGGAAATACAGGAAACTCCTGCAAGATTCCACACAAGATCATCTCCAAGACATATAATTGTTAGATTTTCCAAGGTTGAAATGAATGTATGTTAAAGGCAGCTGGAGAGAAAGGGAAGGTCACCTACAAAGGGATCATCATTAGGCTAACAGTGGATCTCTCAGCTGAAACCTACAATCTAGACGAGATTGAAGTCCTATATTTAATATTCTTTTTTTTTTTTTTTTTTTGTAGAGAGGGAGTTTCACTCATTTTCCCGGGGGGGGAGCAATGGCGCGATCTCGGCTCACCGCAACCTCCGCCTCCTGGGTTCAGGCAATTCTCCTGCCTCAGCCTCCTGAGTAGCTGGGATTACAGGCACGCACCACCATGCCCAGCTAATTTTTTGTATTTTTAGTAGAGACGGGGTTTCACCATGTTGACCAGGATGGTCTCGACCTCTTGACCTCGTGATCCACCCGCCTTGGCCTCCCAAAGTGCTGGGATTACAGGCTTGAGCCACCGCACCCAGCCTATTTAATATTCTTTTTTTTTTCCCTTTATTTATTTTATTGCATTTTAGGTTTTGGGGTACATGTGAAGAACATGCAAAATTGTTGCATAGGAACACACATGGCAGTGTGATTTGCTGCCTTCCTCCCCATCACCTACATCTGGCATTTCTCCCCTTGCTATCTCTCCCCAGCTTCCCACCCCCCACCCTCCCTCCCCTATTTCCCCCCAACTGACCCCAGTGTGTAGTGCTCCCCCCCCATGTCCATGTGTTCTCATTGTTCAACACCCGCCTATGAGTGAGAACATGCGGTGTTTGATCTTCTGCTCTTCTGTCAGTTTGTTGAGAATGATAAAAATATATTCAACAGATAATTTCATATCCAGCCAAACTAAGCTTCCTAGGTGAAGAAGAAAGAGGATCCTTTTCAGACAAGCAAATGTTGAAGAACTTCATTACCAGACCTGCCTTATAAGAGATCTTGGAAGGATCAGTAAATTTAGAAAGGAAAGACCACTACTAGCTACAACAAAAATATACTTAAACACACAGACCAGTGTCACTGTAAAGCAACCACACAAACAAGCCAACATAATAACCAGCTAATGACAAGATCAATGACAGCACCAGCTAATGGCAG